AAGCCCGCCCAACTTCTCTCTCTACAAACATAGAGCACTGTGATTGGCCCAGTCTAGAACTGCTCGGTCCTATAGTAGACGTGCTGAGGCTACAATGGAGCATAACCACACCAACCTGCAGAGCAATCGCTACACTGCCACAGTTGGTCTACATGTCCTAGCTCTATGTCTGAATCATCACATAATTCCTTTCATGTTTCAGCTTCAGGTCTCAGAAATTAGAAGTGGAGTTGCTTTTGCTTCAGATATTTGTACAAGAACTGTTCATATCATTCTGATTCGTTTATCCCACCATACTGTTTTACAACTTTCATGCTTTTATCCGCGCAATCATCAAACAACTTGGAATAATCTGAATCTGAAAATAGCTGAACAACACAAGGCACTTTTCCTCTGTGTGATCCGAGGATTTCTCTAGAATTTCAACCCTGAGAGGAAAACGGAGAAGACTTCTCTTTTGGGATGTTGGTAAATGTAGTCCCTCTGAGGACCCTGCAGACGGACTCACAGATAGGATCTGGCATTCTGTGGAAAACAGATTAATCTAATTACAAAGACTTGTTACTTTGTCAATCAAACTGACTCAGATAACTTATTTGTCTCAACAAAACAGCAGAGCTAAGGTCACTCACATCTGAAATCTTCTTTTTGGTTTGACTTTTCCCTTCAGGGTTGGCCACAGCCCTTCATCTGAAATAAAACACATTTAAATCAGTAAAAATCATAAATTAGTGAAATCAAAGTGGGTGCAGAAGACCTGTAGTAGTTATAAACGAAACACAGTATTTTCCTGACATCTGTGAATGTTCACAGCATCCAGACCAGACACATTTAACAAAGATGAAGTGAATTTTGGCCCCATTTCAAAAGAGCTGACTATTATGTTTTGTTTTGTGGATTGTTTTAGTCTCAGGTCTTTCTTCTGGGACACGCTTTGGTTCAACAGAACCCTGGATCTCTACATGCTCCATTACATCCATAAAGTACAACAACTTGCTTGTTTTATGCTGTACTTTCTCTTCTTGGCAGCTGGTCAAAGCAAACATTTTTCTCTGACTTCTCTGCAGACGAGTCAGAAGGACGTTGTGAAACCACCAGCAGCTCAAACGTGCACAAGCTGAGTCCTTTAGATCTTTTTAGAATATTCATGAACAAGATGTTTGGTCCAATATTAGGTTCATCAGATTATGGTGAGTGATATTTAACGAGCTATCGTCCTGCCAGCTGTACCTTGGCGTTCTGGTGATTTTTGAAACATCCTTTTGAGAAATCAGGTTACTTCTGAAAAACGGCAGTCCTGCTGGCCCCAACAGAATGAGGTGGGGATAATTATGAAAAGGATTTCAGTATTCTTGCAGTAGAAACTTTGCTAAAACCATCCTTGCCAGAGCTAATGTTAAGGTGCTGGTTTCACAGCCAAGCCACGGGGAAGTCAGGATAATCTCTCTTTAGGATGAGTCAAGTTCCTGACTTTTATCTCAGACTCGCTTCATGTTCTTGGCGAACGTAGAACTCCCAGTAGGATGAATACCATCGGCTGAAGCTGATTCTTTTGGACGGAATTTAACGTGTTTATTGGCTCGCAGCAATAATCTCACAGGACCAGCAGCAAACTGGTTCTGTAAACCAAACAGAACTGAAGGCGTATGTAAAATATTTGTGCAGAAGGCTCGTTTTTGTTTTGTTTAAGGCAAAAGTGATATTTATTCAGCTTTTGGGTATGTGGGACTTTCCCTTGTTTCCTTTGGAGCCAGTATTCAATTCTCTGAGCCAAGTTCTGCCCAGTAGAACCAGAATATGCAATGTGTGGTTGTTTTAACATCATCTGATCAGGAAAGCAGGGATGGATGAAGGAGGAAGTTGGCTGCTCTGTATTTAAACTGCATTAAGCTGTGTACGGAGAAGTTTAAAGCTAAAACAGCTCCTTCAATAGGGAGCTTAAGTCACTTCCGGACCATGGGTCCCCGGAAGAACGAAAAAATGAATGCAAGCCAATGGGGCTAAAAATATACATTATATCAAATGTTTAATATTTAAATAACTTATTTTACTCAACATGAAGCAGAGTGTTATGAAAATACAGTTAAAATGACGATAAACTCTCTAAGTAAAATATAGAACTTTGAACTATTAGAGCCTGTTGGATAAATGTTGATGAATTGGGCATTTTGCACACACTACCCCTCTCCCTGCTTTCACATGATCGAAGGCGCGCTGCACGCCATGAGTGCACATTTAGCCGTTTTTAGGAAAATGTTTTTACGTGAACCACACCTTTAACATGTTTGGTGCAATGGCGGTTTTAAACGGGGGCCCACAGGGGCAAATTTGAAACATATGCAATATGTTAGCCTAAATCTGTCTATAGTTTTGCATGTAAATATACATCATACCTAGAAACTACTGTAGTTCATTTTGCTCAAATAGAAATAGAGGCCTGCCTCTAATTCTGGTCCTTCTTCCAATAAAGGCCTGGAGCTTGATGAGCTTGAGTCAAATACAGTATTAGACAGCCTGTATTAGAGGATTTACGGTAAATGTATTTTGGGGGGATTTTTCCCCAAAACATAATTTTTTTAGATGGACTTTTCTAATATAAGTTAAAAATGAGGGAAAACAGAACTGAAAGAAAAAACCTGAGAATTTCCCAATGGCACAAACTGTGTCAAAAAGGTGCCCAAAATGGTCCGAGAGAGGTCTGCCTGGATCAATGGTGGTTTTAAACGGGGCCAACAGGGGCCTGGACCCCTGTAGAACCGGCTCTGGCCCCTGTTATGGCCCCTGTGCTGAAGAGATCGGATTTTTTTTTCCCGCGCTGCCTCGGAGACGGGAATTAATGCGCTGCAGCGTTTCACACGGAGCCTTTAAAGCGCAGCACACTCTGTGGACAGAACTGTTTACGGGGTGGATTTTTGAATACAAGATTAAAATTAGTTTAAATGGGACCCGAAGAAGTTCTTGAGGACGCCAAACGGAAAAGACGCTAAGAGACGAAGGTAAGTAATAGTTTATTTTCCTGACATCAGTATTTTGATCGTAGTCGCACGTTTCTGTCATTTACTTTTAAGTTCCTAACTGAGTCTATCCACAGTTAATACTGATTTGTTGTTCCTTTGTAACATTAACTGTAAAATAAAAATGAAGTTGCTGCATTTTAAGCCTTAGACACGTTGAGATTGGATCACAGTATTAATTTATCTATGACTTTCTTGCACCACTGACTGGAAGCATCAGCGGCCATGAAAAGAAAAAGGGACATCTTGTTCTTTTTTACGGCTGTTAATAAAGAACAGTATAGGCAGAGAGAGGATGAAAGTCACAAGGGAGCTGAGAAGCAGGATGAAAGAGAGAAGGAGGAGTTGGTTGGAGAGGAACCAGAGAGGTCAGAGGCTGTCCACCCTGAGAGTGAGGAGGAGGAAGATGTAGGCTGTGAGGGAGAGAGTGAGGAGCAAAAAGAGGGACATCTTCTGTCATGTGCACCGTGTGCACTACCGTCAGGTTTGTGGGTGTTAAACAAACCCCTCTGTGTTTGCAGCTCATATTGTGTGTAAAATGCATTTGAGGCATGCTGACTCTGGACCAAAATTTCTGTTGTTTATATTTAATAAATAGATAAAATAAGACTCAGAGTTAACTAATTATGACTTTTATCCTCATGCTAACATTTATTTTCTTTCAGATATCCGCAAGTGCAAGGATGACCCACCTACTCAGCCTCATTTGAGAACATTTCCAGTGACATTAATAGGAGACAGAAGATGCAGCTTTCAGCCAAGCTGGTATGAAAGTCATCCAATTGGGTTGAATATTCTGTTACTATGGACTCTACTTATTGTCATGCATGCAGACATTTTAGCCCACCAAGTAGCGCAGGAAGTGTGTTTGACTCACCATGTGGATTTAGGAACTGGAAAAAAGCAACTGAGAGAGGAGGGGGGTTTTCAGTACACGCAAAGTCTGAAAGGCATAAGGATTCAATGATAGCGTGGAGGGACTACCAGAGGGCTGTGAAAGCTAATACAACATTGGCTAATATACTCAACAAGGAACTCAGTAAAAAGGTTAAAGAAAATCGTGAGTTTATCAAAACAATTGGTGAAGTGATTTTGCTTATGTGTGTGTGTGTGTGTGTGTGTGTGTGTGTGTGTGTGTGTGTGTGTGTGTGTGTGTGTGTGTGTGTGTGTGTGTGTGTGTGTTGACTACAAAAAGCAAATTGTATTGTGCAGATATTTTATTTGTTTGAATGTTTATTTTTCATATGTACAGTTCATATAATCTTCAAATAAAGTCACAAACTATAATAATTGACTAGAATTGTTTTTTACTCAAGTCTCATGTTGCGGTGAAGCATTCAGAATTGTTATCTGAGTACCATAAAAACATGCCAGTTTTACTTTCACAAATAAGCCATTACTGCATTCGCCGTAATAGTTTACTTGTTCATTGTCTTTTAATATGATTTTTTTTCTTGTGCCCCCATGAAAAAATACTGGCCCCACAGTGGCCCCCCTGGAAAATTTGGTCTAGAACCGCCCCTGGTTTGGTGATGTGCAGGAACAGGTGGAAATTTTTGTCTCAATGGAACTTCAAAATAGAATAATTTTCAAAATAAAAATGAATTTGCATACATTCTTTACCAATTGATTTTTGCTTTTTGGATCGATGGCCATGATGGATGTGTCAAAGTAGATCAATGTATTGTTACATTGTGAGTACATTTTGAGGCATGCTGAAATTTACTGAAATGTCCCTGGAGCTTCCGTTTGTCACCTGACGTGTTAAGAGAGAAACAACAGCTGTGTTCAGTTTGCTTTGAAACATCACAATAAAAACTCTTAATTAATTATGAGTTCTGCAGTCTTATTTGCTTAGACAGTGTAACAAAATAGTCCTTGCTGTGATGGAGCATCTGGGCTTGTTTTCCATGGTTTTCATAGGAATTTTATTGTTTTTCTGAAACGTATGATTCGCGGTACTTTAAAAAACTACAAGTGTCTCGTGAGTTTACGACAGTTTTTGTGGTTTTACGGTAACGTAACCTGTTGTGGTAAACATGCGGACTCGGAGCAGTGTTCAGTAGTAAAAGGAAAGAAGTAAAGGTAAGAAGATAGTGTTTTCATGCTGCAGCGGACCACCTAAGGTTTTTATCTTGTGTTACCCCTTATGACCTGCGTTTGTCTTATTTATGACCATTTTAAAAACACTTGTTTACTGAACGGTTAGCTTTAGGTGAGTCCGGGTGAAGCAGCTTCCTGCGGTGAGGTTTATTATCATCTGAGGTGTTTTCAGGTCAGAGTTTGAACAGCCTTGTTGGCACATGTGGTTAGTTGGAGTGGTTGTTGTTTGAAGTTAGCTGTCTAGCTAGTGTGCTAAAGGCTAACACCGCATTGAACGCGAAGTTAAATTATATTGTGTATCATTTCTGCGTGTGATGATGTCATAAGCATGCCGAACACTTAAAAAGACGCAGAATTGTATTTTAAACCTTCGTTTAAAACCAAGTTCAGCGACGTCATCACATCTGGGTAAAAATGCTATTTTTGTGTGGAGTTTGGTTTGCGCTCAGAACTGAATTTTATATCTGTTTAAAAACTCAAAAGGTTGGAAATGTGTTTAATCATGACTAGGGTTGCCAACTCCCTGAAAAATAAATAAGGGACACCTCGCGGGCAGGGCGCTCCAGGCCACCCTTCCCAGCGTGGTGATTTTTTTGCTCTTTTTTTGTGTGTGGGTGTGAAAGGATTTTTTTTTTTACTATTTGACTTGAAGTTGGTTTAAGAAGATGCATATTCTTTGTGATATGAAAACATGGGAAACAAATGATCATTTAGCCATTTATTTATGGCGTGAAATTACAAAATTATTATAAGTAACAAAGGTATTTTTCTTAAACAGAAAACTGTTATGCTCAACTTTTTGTGCAAAATGACAAAAAAAAAGTAGGTCTCTTTCTTAAACGGTAGCCTGTTATGCTTTACTTTTTAGAATATAAATAGCTCTCTTTAAAACAACTCTGTTCTGCTTAACTTAAAATTGTATAAATTAATAGAAAACAACAGAAAGAGCAACGCTGTAACTGCACATTGAGTGCAATTAGAAAAGTGCAAACAGAAAGTCTGTGGAGAAGCTGTAAACATATTTGTGCCTCAAAGGCCTTGACTGTAGCCTACGGTTGAAGTAAAAAAAAAAAAGTCCAAACTCATGAACTCAAAAACTCAATGCTACATTATGTGAAAACAGACTATTTTCGCCATTTGTATTTCTTTTGAGATCTTGCTGCATTTAGGAGTTGTTTGTCTTTCAGTACTGCAGAGTAAAACTCTGAGCAAGACATGTCACAATTTAGAGTGACAATGAGCTCACATCTAATTATTTCAGTAGAACATTTGTTCCGCACATCAGTCCACTTATTCTTCATGAGAGAGAAAATCCTCTCTGCCAATCCAGTGGAAGATGGGATGCTGAGTACAAACGATACAACAGGCTGGATGTTGGAGAGGTCAGCTGCCTGAAGAATTTCTATACACTTCTCTGCTGTTCCCTTGGACTGCCACTTTTCCTTCTCCTGAGGTCCTTTGGTGAGGTGCTCCAGAAGGCTGGCTGCAGTGACACACTCGTCATAAAGCTCATCCATAGAGATGTTTAACCTGCCAATGGAGATAAGAAGTAAACCTGGGTTATAAGCACCACATAGAACACTTACAGTGGTAAATAAATGGAAAACATTTATTGTATATTTATTGCATTGTATAGCTTTTATACAATACAATAGTTCACTTTATTTATTATGTATTTATCCATCCTTTTAGTTTAAAATTATCCAAACAACATATAAACCAAGACAAGGCTACATCGAAACTAAACACCCAAGTTAAAAAAAAAATAGAAAAACTAATGACAAAACAGAAACAGACAACAAAAATAATAAAAATAATAGTAAACAAGCCCCAACACAGTGTTTTTTTTTCTTCATATAAATACCTTCACTTTAACCAGAGGGTTTAAAAAAGCAATGTTTACTTACCATATCTGCTTCTGCCATGGCCTTGTGGACGACAAATGGATCGAGGGTTCCCCGTAATTTCACGTCCTTTATGTTTTTCATGTGGCTACTACTAGACGCATGTTGCTTGAGGTCAGTGAGTCCACCATGCCCTTTGGAAAAACTGCGCCGGTACACGGTGCAGTGCGCTTTATAGGTGTTATCGCGCAGTTTTTCCAGCCAGGAATTTTCCTTTTCCCATTCCTCCCTGTATTTTTGAAGCCTTTTTTCTTCTTTCTCGGAGGGGTACTGTCGTCCGAGACTTGTACAGCAGTGTCGGCGTTAGTTTCCCGGTTGGCCGTGCTGTTTGCTGTCGTCTGTTTTCTTCCGGTATCTTCTCCCCAAGCGACCGTTCCTCGACCAATGAAATAAGCGGTAATCTTATCGTCATATTCGTGTGTAAGCATGCGGTCAGTTCATTAGTCACAGAGCAGGCGAAGGGCTGGCTTTCAAACAAAGCGTTAATTCCGGTAATAGACTACAGACTAATTTTGATCCATACTATATTACGGGACAAAGTGCGTCCCTTTTGAGTTCAATACGGGACGTGCACTTTTGTTTCTAAATACGGGACGATTCCGTTTTTCAAGGGACGGTTGGCAACCCTAATCATGACTGATCAGCTGCTTTAAATGGGAAAACTTCAGTTGTCCCTAACATCCTGACTTATTACAACATATTTGTTAAAATAAAACAATTTCTTTTTATTCTGTTCAGTAGCAATCCCTTTCCTTCACAGCACTGTACAAGTTGTAATTATAAGTCTCAAAATATGTTCCGTATTCAAGAAGTAATTGAATCAGCATGCTGACACTTCCTCTGTCAAAGAGAGGGGGGCCTAACAGATTAAAGATGGTGGCAGTCACGCGGGGCTCATCAATGTCAATGGTTTAGTTGTTTCAGTGTCCCCTAAAGTGTCTGGGGGGCACATGTCTCCTTTATATTCCTGCCACACTTTGTGGCTGTTTTTCAGCATTTATTTATAATGGGGTCAGGGATGAGGTCCTGCCCCAAGTGGAGGAGTTTAAGTATCTCAGGGTCTTGTTCAGGAGTGAGGAAAAACTGGAGCGGGAGATTGACAGGCAGATTGGTGAACCGTCTGTCGTGGTGAAGAGAGAGCTGAGTCAGAAGGCAAAGCTCTCGATTTACCAGTCGATCTACGATCCTACCCTCACCTATGGTCACGAGCTTTGGGTAGTGACCGAAAGAACGAGATCGCGGATACAAGCGGCCGAAATGAGTTTTCTCCGCAGAGTGGCTGGGCTCTCCCTTAGAGACAGGGTGAGAAGCTCAGTCATCCGGGAGGGGCTCAGAATAGATTCGCTGCTCCTCCACATAGAGAGGAGCCAGTTGAGGTGACTCGGGCATCTGGTCAGGATGCCTCCTGGACGTCTCCCTGGTGAGATTTTCCGGGCACGTCCAACCGGGAGGAGACCTAAAGGTAGACCCAGGACACGTTGAAGGGACTATGTCTCTCACCTGGTCAGGGAACGCCTTGGGATCCCCCCAGAAGAGCTGGCCCAAGTGGCTGGGGAGAGGAAAGTCTGGGCCTCTTGACTTAGGCTACTGCCCCCGCAACCCGACTCCGGATAAGCGGAAGAAAATGGATGGATAGTATTCAGGGTTTCCCACAGAAAATGAGTTAAGCCCGGTGGCTTTGGGGGGGTCCCGCAGTGCTCCTCTGTGGGGGGGGGGGGGGGGGGGGGGTGTCGCGAGTTGTGCGCTCCGCAGGCTTATAAAGCACTGGGGGAAGCCCTGGTATTGAATCATAATAATAATTATTATTTTAAAAATGAAAGTGACAGGAAAAAAGCGATCATGACCAGTGTTGCCAACTTAGCGAATTTGTCACCATTTCTAACGCCTTTTCAGACCCCCTTAACGACTATTTTTCAAAAAAGCGCCTAGCGACAATTCTGGTGACTTTTCTGACCCCCCTCAACTACTTTGACTTCAACTTTGTAGCAGACTTTACCTGCAGATTAGCGAGGCATCTGAAGCGACAGGACCGTCCTTCCAGAGGATCAGAAAGAAAATGATCTGCGCATGTGCTTGCAGCATGATCACGCTACCCCCCTTGGCCAATCAAACCTTTTGTGGGTTTTCTTTCACAAGAGATAGCCACCGGAGCTACATAAAGGGCGACCGCTCCTTCCGCCATCCTGCCTCATTTCAGCAGCTGAGCTCGGCTGGCACTGGTAGGCAGCGTCGCACTCACACATGGCTTCTGCATTCAAGGAACATTGGAACTCTATGATGAGTTCAATAACGTAGCACATTTAAAACTTTTATAAAAAACAGAATAATACTGTGTAAGTCATTGGCAGGTCATTGGCAGTTTGCATGTAACGTTTCTGAATATTAAATACGACCTGCTTCTTTTTACACAAAAGTACTAAAAACAACAAAACCAAACAAAAACAATATATATATATATATATATATATATATATATTATCTTTTAGGTCAATATATAGCACTGAATCACAACAGAAGAATACATCTCAAGGCACTTGAAAACTACAACAGAATATTCATTTTAATTCAATCATACATACATTCCTATCAATTTAATATTTTTGTGTTTAAGAGTTCCCTTCTCTTCAGACAAAATATAAATATTCCTTCCATTTTTGTGTGCCATTTTTCCTTGATGTTTTAAAGGCTGCTGTTTTGTATTCTATGGGTTTTTTATTTGAATAAAATATTAAAAAAAGAAATTAAATAATTTTTTAAAATAAAATCACGTGGGTTTTATTTGATTTACTCTACAAGGCCGGTGACGGCGTGACACAAACGTGGTGACGTCATCACGCAAGCAAGATGACGTCATTGCGTCGTATGCAAATTAGCACGTGACGTCATTTGGCGACATCTAGTGACTTTGGGGGGGGGGGACTTCAGCTACTTTCAGTCAAAAACAGTTGGCAACACTGATCATGACCAGTTATTTTTTTATTTCATCCTGTAGGTCAAAATGACAAACGACAAAAATGTCTAGAGCAACCTCTGTTACGCAGGTAAGTTTGCACACATTTGGCCCAGACACCTCCGCTAGCTTCGCAGTTAGCATGCTAAATGTTTGCTTTTCACATGCTGCGGTGTTGGCGTGGAGCAGTGAAATCATTCCCAGTTGAAACACTTTCCCACTGCGATAGTTCCGGACATGGTCGGTATAGCTGTATTTGACAAATTTCACAAGCAGAAATTGAGGTACTTGTGGGTGAGGTGAAGAAATGAAAGGAAGTGCTTTTGCAAAACAAATAAGAGAAAATCCACAGAGTGGCACAGTGTTGCTGAAGCTGTCAATGCTGAGTTCTTCAGAGAGATCTTTGGCAGATAAAAAAAAAATTTCCGATCAGGATTTGATCCCCAGGCTCCCGGTTGAAAGTCACGCAAGCTAACCAGTCAGCCAAACAGAGATCTCCCTTGTACAGGTAGCCAGGGTGCATGATCAATCGGGTCACAGTGACAGGACACACACTGTCATAGACGCATGACATTCTGTCTCAATCTGTCCCCCTGCTGATATTCTGCATTCCGTATTCTGTGCTTCAGGCTGTGTGTGTGTGTGTGTGAGCGCGCCCGCGTGCGTGTGGGGGGTCTTGTTCTGTGTGAAAATGAAGCAGTACAAGTGATAATGCTGCAGGATTTCATAATTGTTTCCTTCTCAGCAGCAGCACTGCAGGTGCTCTCCATGTCCAACATGTGCGTAAACAAGGTCCTTAGTCAACTTAAAGTTGCGCACATTTTTCCGCTAAGTTTTCTTTCATAAATCCCGAAGTTTGCATGGAAAGTTGCTTACGCAGTTTTCCGACCCCCTTTTGTGCGTAAGCAAGCTTGATCATGTTTATGTTATGTTTATGTATTTAGCAGACGCTTTTGTCCAAAGCGACTTACAAGTGATAATCGGTATTTTGCCCTTGAGGCTAACAACAACAATAACAACAACAACATTGACATCAGTCATGGAGAGTAGGGAACAAGGAGTGTACATGAGAGGGGGGACGGGTGCATGCAGGGTGCTAGTTTAGAAGATGCTCTCTGAAGAGCAGGGTCTTCAGGAGTTTCTTGAACTTTGAAAAGGAAGCCGCAGTTCTGGTAGTGCTTGGTAGGTCATTCCACATTTGTGGAACAATGCATGAGACTGGACTGGTCTGAGTCTTCATGGTCATGTTCAAGAAACCAGTTAGAGATGATCTGAGCTTTGTGACATGGTTCTTTATTCTGCTAGAAGCAGCCATCAGAAGATGGGTCCATGTGGTCATAAAGGGATGGACATGGTCAGCAACAATACCAGGCTCAGGTGGTTCTAAAGGATCCAAAGTGGGACCAGTACCCCCCACCACCCCCCACCCCCACCACCACCATTACATCACCAGCAGCATCCTGAAGTGTTGACACAAGGCAGGATGGATCCATGTTTTTTTTACCGTACAGCTGAGGTCCAGACTCATAGATGACAGAATGCATTGACCAGCTGACGTGATTGGTTCATTAGATATTTGAATGTGTTGGTTGTACAGGTGTGCCTAATAAAGTGACCATTTATTATAAATATCAAAGTTGTTCATCAAATGACTTCTGCAACAATGAAGCATGACTTTAAAAAAAATACTCAAGATGAAGATTCAGCTGCAGTAGAAACTCCTTTCTCCTAATCGTTCATCCCAGAGATCCCAGTTTTGCTCATTTTGGGTGATTATTTATAATTTGGGTCAAATCTAAATTAGGATTAAACTTTTCTTTCTTTAAACGATGGTGACTTGTTATTTCTTAATGTTAAGTGTGGATTATGAATTGTTCAAACCAAATAATTCAATAAATGTGGCAGAAATAAAATTCTGGCATTTGAGATGATGAAAACATGGACAACAAATGTGCCGGTTAGTTAAACGTGCTTTTGTTTTTGCAGATGGAGAATTACGGTAAAGCGCGGACCGTAGAGCGGCCTTCAGTCTGTCCGTTTACCGACCTCTGCCCCGACACCCCGGAGGTGCGAGTTAAAGATGGAAGCAAGATCCGCAACCTGCTGCGCTTTGCTCTGAGTCGCCTGGAGGCCAGTCCCTCACGAGCTGAGGAGGAGGGACGGCCCACACCTGAGGAAGGAAGCGAAGAACCACCGGGCCGGCCGCTCTGTAAACAGATCGTGTTTACCGCCGTTGGGAAGGGTGTCTCCAAAGCCATCACCTGTGCAGAGATTGTGAAGCGGCGCCTCAAGGGGCTCCACCAGGTCACCAAGCTCACCTACAGCTCCGTGGTGGAGGTGTGGGAGCCGCTGGAGCCTGCTGCCGGCCTCGACAGCCTCACCGTCAACAGGAACCTGCCTGCCATCTGGATCCTCCTCTCCAGGGAGCCACTGGACTCCAACCAGCCAGGATACCAGGCGCCCGGCCGCTATGACGCCCTCTGGGCTCCGACCGCCAGCAAGGAGGAAGGTGGCGGGCCAACGGGACAGCGAGCTGGACACCGCAGGAAGAGAGGAGGATGGGGAGGAGGACGGGGAGGAGGCAGAGGCAGAGGGAAGGGGACCGGCCGTTAAAATTAACGCTCTGGTCAAGCACCAGAAGGACACAGGTGTTTCTACAGCATGTGGACATGTAGGGACACTGGGAGGTTTAAACTGGTTTAGTTGGTTTTAATATAAGGAGGTAGAGGAGTCTGCTCCAAACCAAATGTTTATTTGGATTTGTTTTTCTAAGAATGTTTTATCCAACTTTCCTTCCCACCAACATGTAAGAGTTCATTAATGTCATCCATCTTCCATCGGAATCTGTCTGCACGACCCATTTAAAGTCATCCAGATGTTTGTTGCTCAAACAGCTGTAATCTGATGAGGGTTTTCATAAAGTTACATGAAGGTCTGCGTACAGCTCAGATTGTGTTGCACGGTGCTGTGTTCATATTGTCTGTGACCTTTTAACCGAGGACGAACATGAACGCACCACGGTAAAGATGGTGTTGAAGAGGACGGCCGCTCTAAGCTGACAAATGTTTCGGACAAACCAAACCTCCTTCATGCTGAAGAGTTGTTGATATTTTGGTGTTCATCATAAAGGAGAGCCATTTGTGTGATAGTCACGTAGAAAATAAAGCTTTCTTTGGCGTGCAAGTGCGTTTTTATTTTTGGTTACCTATACCGCTCTGTGAGAGAATGAATGAATGAAATCTTTATTTCGAACATTATAATAAGAATAAAATAACTATTATAACAATAATAATAATAAAGTCATTGTAGACATTAAAATAAAATCACTGATAATCACACAAAAATTTAATTATCATATTCCTTTTGAAAAGGAGTAGGAGGAAGCTAGTGCTTTTTAAATCCTAACCCCCTTTCCCATTTGTTCAAGATCAAAAGGAACAATGTCGTTTTTCTAATTCATCATAAATTTTCTATATTCATCTATAGTCAAATGGCCCATTTACACCATTACATACAAAATAGTTCCACATACCTTTTCCATTTATCCACCACACACAGCGATTAACATTCCCTACTACACACACTTACAACACACCCCATTTTCTTTTGTACACTTACACCCTCACACCACTCATTGGATCTTTTTGAGTCAAAATCCCTCTTCCTCCCTGTACCTCATGAAGACCATGTTTTTGTACCACTTTCTAAATTGGGTCATACTTGGACATTGCTTTAAATCACTATTTAATCCATTCCATAATTTTACCCCACAAACAGAGATGCACTGACTTTTTACTGTTGTTCGTGCGCACAGATGGGTATTTTAAATTCCATTCCTCTCTCAAATTATATTGTTTATATGAGAAATACTTTTGTGTAGGAGCTGTTGGTCTGCTAATTGCTAAAACACATTCATAAAATTCACATCTTTGCTGTGTTCTAAATGTTTTCATGAAAATGGAATGCCATGAACAACCTGTTTACCTGTTCCTGGATGTGCTATAGAGGGCGTGATTCATGGTTCCAAATTACTAAAATTGTCCAGGTCTTGAAGCTGCCCCATACCATCACACTGCCACCACCATGTCTGGCTGTAGTACTCCAGATGGAACTGGATGCACACCTTCCAGGTAGGCCTGCTTTTGTCTCTTCAGTCTACAGATTTATCCAGAAGTCTTTGGGATCATTGGGGTGTTTTTGGTGAGGCCAGCAGGGCTTTAGATGTTGTTCTGGATTTTCCTGTTCTTGAACATCTTTAGAAGAAGGCATGAAGGTTGCTTCTATCTTCTGACCTACTTTGTTTTGGCACACAGGTTCTTTTGGAATGGGTTTTAGTTCTCCAGGTCTGGTAGTGATCAGATTTCTCATTTCTAAAGCTTACTTATGCACAGAACGGTCTGGAAATCATATAAGCTCATTTTGGACATGGAAAATCTTGCAACACAGCTGGTTAAATGGTTGCATGACCACATTTTCACACCGTGACACACACACACACACACACACACACACCTCAACTGTGAATAAAAATGCGAACCTGAACGAAAATACATTCATTGTACTTCTCACACACACACACACACACACACACACACACACACAAATACACACACAGAGGGAGAGAGTGTATTGTGCAAAAGTTTTGGCAGGTCTGAAAAATGCTGCCAACAAAGAATGCTTTCAGAAATATAAATGATTGTCACTGAAAGAAAAGCCGAGTCGAAATTGTCCAAATTGTTTTAATGAACCCCTGCTCTGTGTGTGGCTGGTGTGACTGAAGCAGATGGTGTATTTTTACTAGTTTAGTGCAATTTATCATATTTTTATTTTGAACTACAATCACAAATAAATTATTTAATCAACAAAACATACTTTGGTTACGTTCTACTCTGCTTGCATGCTTTATTATGGCCATGCCTCCTGAATTACAAGCAGTGTGGCAGCATGCAGCACATTTTCTACACATGTTTTGTTAACACTGAAATTGCTGAAATTTATTTTAATTTTCAGTGACTTCCTGTTTGGATGACAAGGCTGTCACAGCGGCTCTTCTCTTCTTTTATAGCAGCACTGTCTATGAATGCTTTCTTGTTTTACTGTGTTTTTGGTGTTAATCTGTGGTTACTGGTGACATCTTGCGCTGCTGCTGATCCTTTTATCTCCTCAGAGGACTCGTCGCCTGTCAGCTGCTTACTGAGGATTACTCTTCCTGCAGGACGATCAGAAGTTTGCAATCGAAGCAGAGAATGGGTGGGTTTGGATGGGTTCAGGAAGGGCTGAAGCTACTGCTGGTCTGCTGGCTGGCAGGCGGATCAGTGCTGGCTCTGGTCCGGCACCCTGTGCCCGTGCTGTTGATGATGCCGGTCAGCCCTGGGCCAGGTCGAGAGAACCTGACGGCCAGACTGGTTCCAGCTGTCAGACTGGCTCTGCAGGACCTGGAGAAACAGCCACCACCACTGGGAAACTATGAGATCCAGTTCCAGCTGCTGGACTCACAGGTTGGTCTCCAGAACTAAAAGCCTCCTGATAAACTTTGGTCAGCTGTGTTCTAGATTTCACTCCAACAGATCTAAAACAAGTAGAATGTCTTTTTTTTTTTGTAAAAATAAAAGGAACCAATAATTCTTCTAATTTCACATTTTGTTTAGTCAGCCTTGTTTTTAGTCAGCATTCATCTGTTCCAGCATTTCAGGCTGATGCACATTCCTGGTTCCAGTTTGGTTTTCCCTCTGATATTCTCGTTCCTTCTCCAACACGTAGACACATCCTAATGATACCAAGGGATGAAGAGTTCCAACTGTTATCTTGCTCAGTTCTCCCTACAAGCACACATGATGGTGTTTTATTCATATTTTTCAGTGTGATCCTGCTAAAGCTCTAAAAGTCCTGTTTGACACCTTGTGGGCGGGGCCTAGGTACCTGTTGCTGTTTGGGGGGATGTGTCCACCCGTAACGGCGCTCATCGCTCGTGCTCTGCCTGCTCTCAGCCTGGTTCAAGTGCAACATTTTTTATGTCATCACTCTGTGTGATCTGTTATCTGAGTTATCACCTCATTTTATTTTCCCATGGTTTCAAAGGTGTCCTTTGTGGCCCCGCCCCCCAGCCAATCCAACAAGAAGTGGTACAGGAACCTGTTCAGCACAGCTCCTTCAGTTCGAAATCTGAACCAGGCCGCAGTGAAGCTGCTGCAGCGATACAAGTGGAGGCGAATCGGGCTGGTTACAGAGGAAGAACCTGGGTTGACTGAGGTGATGGGAGATGGTGACCTACTGACAAATCTAAGATCAACACCAATTCCATCTATCATTTGAGCATTTATTAGAGATCTGTTTTAACAAAAAAACTACTTTGTGAAGTTTAATCAGTGAAACTTTTGTCTGAAACAACCCTTCAGAATACATTTCTCAGAATGTGACCTTTAACCTTTGTTCTGTGCAGATAACAGAATTGGAATTTGAACATACTCAGTTTGTTTAAAAATCACCTGGTCATTCACCTTTTCTCATCAGCAGTTCCTCTGGTACCTCGTCTGATTTCTCTGCAGATGAAGAAGGATCTGATCCGACAGCTGCTGAAGGCCGACGTTCAGCTCGTTGCTGCAGAAAACTTCTCTGACGATGCCTGCAGCAGCCTGAAGGAGCTGAAGGTAGCTGAGGGGCTAGCAGAGGTTCAGGATGCTTCATGTTCAGGTTTCAGTTCAGGGATCCATGTTTGTTCCGACTTTACAGAAACGAGATGTACGCATCATCATCGCCTTATTTGAGGATGGTTCTGTGTCTGAAGTGCTCTGCTGCGTGAGTGAGAGTTCAGACTTCCTGTTTCAGGATTTTACTGAGGCAGCAAAATTAGACACAAATAAATAATCCACATATTTAATCACAAGTCCAAAAAAACATGTTTCTGTGTGTGATGTTCAGGCCTACCGACTAAACCTGTTTGGACCTCGGTACCAGTGGATTTTTGCAGCTGGAGGAACAGCTGGATGGAGGCTGGGATGGCAGCCATCACATTGCTCTGCTCACAACCTGTTGATGGCGGCCGATGGATCCTTCAGGCTACAGGCCCGAGACTTCAGCACCAGAAACACACCAGGAGTCTCTGGACGGGTCAGAAATGTTCACCTCTAATCCAGCAGCAAACTGTTCTGGATGTGAAGTTTATGTGACTCACATGGACACAAAAACAGGAAGTCTACCTTAAACAAAGATCTCGTTCACAGACTCCTCATGACTTCCAGGAGTCCTACCTCAAGCAGCTGATGCAGGAGGGGTCAGAGGGCAGCCCTCACCACACCTTTGCCTATGATGCAGTTTGGGTCGCTGCCAGGGCGCTAAGTCAGGTGATGGAAGCGGTGAAACTCCGAGAGAAATATGGAGCTCAGAGAAATGTGACGGTCAGTGAGGAAGAGGAGGTCAAGATGCTGATAGAGGCTGTGAAGAACACACAGTTCGAAGGAGTCACTGTGAGGAGATCCGAAACATGAAAATTACACCTGTAATACACCTGCACAGTTGTAATAAACCTGTGACACACCTATACACCTGTGATACACCTGTGATACTCACTCCTGGTATACACCTGTAATACTCCTGGTATACACTTTTGATACACCTGTAACAAACCTGTGATAGACCTATGATACATCTGGCATAAACCTGTGAGACACCTGTGGTGCACCTATGATACAGCTGTAGCACACTTGTGATACTCCTGGCATACACCTGTGATACACCTGTAACACACCTGTGATAGACCTATAACACACCTGTGATACGTCTGGTATACATCAGTAATACACCTGTAATACATCTGTGATACACCTGAGGTACATATATAGTACACCTGAAAAACACATATACACCTATAATACACCTATGATCGTCTGGTATACACCTATGATACGTCTGGTATACAAATGTAATACACCTGTAATACACCTGTAATAGACCTCAATGATGTTAAGCATTCTTTCCTTGTTAAGGGCTCAGTTTCGTTCCGTAATGGGGACAGAATGACGTCCATTGAGCTGATCCAGTTTCAGGGTAATGAAGACTCAGATCTGCCTGGTTTGCTTCCGTTTTGTGCAGCTATGTAGAAGTGTGTGTCTGTGTGTGTGTGTGTGTGTGTGTGTGTGTGTGTGTGTGTGTGTGTGTGTGTGTGTGTGTGTGTGTGTGTGTCCTCAGGTGACAGTGGTGTGCTGGTAGGAGAGTTTAACACAAGCAACCAGCAGCTCCGACTGATGAACCACCTGCTCAAGTTCAAAGGTCAAATGAAATCTCTTCACATAGAAGATTAATACTGAACTTTACAGCAGTCTGAAACACACACTCATTAGTCATCAATAAAGGGTTATTATTCGTTTTATTTGAATGTGTTTTTGTGCGTAGTTAATAGAACCGCTGATTTCTGAAGGTTATTTTAAACTACAGCTGATGTCTGAAACTGGTTTCAAGGAGAATTTTGATGAAATGTAAAAATAAAAAAATATAACAGTTTCCTGATAAAGTTACTAAAAGTGATCTAATGAATGACATCTGCAGGTCCAGGTCCAGCTAAAGACCAGACTCTGGTCCACCTGCACCACCACCACATCAGCCTCCTTCTTTACACCACGGTGTCATCAGCTGCTGCTGTAACCATCTTCATCACTCTGATCATCCTCTGCTTCATCATCATCAAACACAAACACTGGTGAGCTTTGCATGAATCCTCCTGACGGTGAAGTCTCAGCCTGTCTCTCATTCAGCTCTCCATCCACATCCAGGCTGCTGAGCTCCAACACCTCCTCCTGGGACAAGCTGCTCCTGGTGGGCCTCCTGCTGTCCTCCACCTCAGTCCTCCTCTCCGGACTGGATGGTGCCTCGCTCCCAGAAGAAGTCTTTAACATTCTCTGTTCTGTGAGTTCAACACTGATGTTTCTCCTGAGCAGGTTGTGACAAATGACAAACAGCTGAGTGATGATTAATCGTGTTACTGAGGAAGTTATCAGCTCACCTGGGTAGTTCTGATTCAGGCCCGTTTGTGGACTCTCTCTGTGGGGCACACGGTGGGCTTCTCGGTCCTGCTCGCCAAGACCTGGAGGGTCTACTTCTTCTGCAACATCAGGCAGAGGGTGAGTCTCAAATTATCTTTATTTTTCAACCTTCACAAATAAATAAATAAATAAACTATATAAAGTGATGAAGATTGAAATTTGAGGAAACTGATTTGTTTTTATTACAATCAGCAGAATCACATGCAGCCGGGGCTCCTTCTGCTCTGGATGTTCCTGCTGGATGTTCTTATTCTGACCTCCTGGCAAGTCATGGACCCCCTCAGATGGGTGGTGCTTCACCACAGCTCAGAGGTGAGGACAATCTGTGCTTTGATGGTCTTGATGGAATCGGATCAGGGTTCTGTGAAGGTGCAGGCTTTGATCAAGGTTCTGATTGCACAAGGGTCCATGAAATGTCTCACATCAACTTTTGCAGCCTTGAGGGACATTGATGGGACAGGTTATGGACCAGTCTGCAGCAGTCCTGACCGTCCACATTGAAGAAATGACCCAAAAGTCAAAGAGGCTGATTCGGTTCTGTTGGACTACTTTGAATGTGAACAATGAAACCAAGAGCTCTGTCATCAGAAGCCCTCTAGGTCGGAATGTCAGAACGCTTTCATTTTAAAACTTGTTGCAACCTGAAAACCAAAACGGACATTTTAGACAAAAAAGTTGGTTTGTGCAATGAAGCAGCCTCAGAATGTTTGAACCAAACCAGCACAGAAATAAAGAAGGCGTGTGCAAAAGGACTGAAAATGTTAGGATCTGTCTGTTTGCGTTTCAGGAATACCTTGATGATCAGGACGTCATCATCCGCTCATATTCTAAACTCTGCAGCAGCACCAACATGGAGCAGTGGCTCACAGCTGTGTATGGATACAAAACACCTGTGATGGTCAGAACACACAAACATTTACAACATCCATGGGAGGAGGTTGGAAAAAAGAGGAAAAACTAGAATGAAAAGTAAACATGAGTAGTGGAGAAAAAGATGCTGGAAACAAACTGCTGAGATGACCCAGAAAATCTCCTTTACCACAAACTCCATCACCTCTAGCCAAAAAACCTCCGTGAGACCCTGCTCTGAACTACTGAGCACCAGAGTAACTCACTACCCTCCTGACTGACTGACTAAAGTCAAGCTAATAGCATTGAACAGATGAATCTACTGAAATATGTCAGTTTTCTGATGAATAACACTGCTGATTTAGTCTCAAATGAACTCCACAGAGAAAATGATCCAAACCACAAAGCTAAAACCATAAAATATGAATGAATGAATGAATGAATGAATGAATGAATGAATGAATGAATGAATGATCAATTTTATTCAGCCATCATCATCAAAAACAGTAATTCATGTAGACAGTAACATATCATACATATAAATCCATATATTCCCATACCTTCACAAATTTTGTATATACTTGAATCATATCTATTTTAGTATCTACACATTTCCCATACAATCTCATTAACTTTTGAACATTTCATGACTGAACAGGTTTAGGTAGAAGCAAAAGCCTATAAAATATCACCCTCATTGATATAATGTGTGTTTCAGAGATGGAAAATCTAAATTTAAAGTTTGTACATTAAAAGCATTCAGACAAATAACTACATTTACCAGTTTGTAGTTATTCTGACTGACAGCAGGGGGCGCTGTGCTCCACCTGCCTCTAATGACCAGACACCGCTGACTAGAATAAAAGGATTTTTTCTGAACACCGTGGATGTAAACACAATATAATCAAACATGAAGATTCAAATGGAAGTTTGAAGCTGCTCTGGCGTCCCCATGAGGTTCTAGGGCTGTGCTGCAGAACTGCTGGAACAAACTTCCTGAACTTCCATTCAGTCATGGAATTACATGGGGAAGTTTTGATTTAAAGTATGAACACAAAAAAGCACATTAATAACAGCACCTTACTGTAAAATGATTAATGCTTCTGAGCAGTGTCTTTCGCAGAAACAACAGTGTGTTGATCTGACTGGTTACTGATTAAGCATCACACTCAGAGGAGGAGTTTCTCTGTTCAAACAGGGAAATGCAAAGTACCAAACATTTAGACTAGAGAGAGAAGTTTGTTGATGTGAGCTAGCTTCCTAATCAAACTTCCAGAGGCTCACATGGTCTTTGTTGTTGCTGTGAAAATGACCAGGGATCGGATTCAGAGATGAAACCTCAGATGGCATTCTGTCCTAAACGTGTGTCCGTCATGCGAAGGTGGACATTAGGGTTGGATCTTCTGGTTGTTTCCCTCATTAACACACAGAGGTTGATCACTTTAATGAAGCTCTGTCTAAACTTGAAAAGCTTGTTACTCTGATTAATTTCTTCAGACAACAAGTGGATTGTGTGATTTAACAGTTTTTCTTTCATTTTCATTGTTCAGAACATCAGTAGGATTTCAGAGGATCTTCTGGATTTTGTCTTTATTCTTCAGGGTTTTGGTTGTTTCCTGGCCTGGAGCATCAGGACAGCAGATCTGGGTCCTTCTGCCGCCAGCAGTAAGCTCCTCATCCTCAGCGTGTTTTCTGTGACGCTGTTCAGCATGTCGGGTGTGATGGGAGCTCTGCTGACATCCCATGATCCTCCTGTTCAGTTCTGTCTGAGCAGCATCCTCATCCTCAGCTGTAACCTCTTCATCCTGAGTGGTCTGTTCGGACCTCAGGTGAGTCTGCTGCCTTTGCAGTTGAGAAGCATCAAATGCAGCTTAATACTCAGATGTCTGAAGTTTCTTTTTCTTTCTTTTCAGATTTGTTTAGTTTTATCAAGCAGCAGGAAGCTGCAGCAATCAGCTGAGCTGCAGGATGAAGCAGCAGATGAGGAAGATGAGGACCGGCTGAGAAGGATGAATGAGGAGCTGAAGAGTCAAAGCGCTCAGGTGGAGTCGGGTCAGGTTCTGGAGCAGTGAAACCACAGACGATTGTGTGAGCAGGTATTTATTCTGTTCTGTTCCAGCTGGATGTCCAGGTAGAAACCATCAACTTGCAGCTCTCTGAGATGATTCAGGATGAAGCAGGAGGAAAACTTGGTAACATCAGAAATCCCCCGATAGCTCACAGGAGTTAAAGCTTTTCACTTTCCTAACAAGTGTATCTTTTCTTTTTAATTCTGCTTTTGTCAGGACCTGAACTCAGTTCTCGGATGTCAGCTCATGAAGTTCAGGTCTGTTCTTACAGCAAACACCTGCAGGAAAAAGCGTCAAGTCCAGTCGACATCAACTCTCCTGAACAGTGAGTTAAAATAACAACAACCAATCAGACAGGAAGTTCACCAGAGGGACCTCCTGCCACCTGATTTTATAGTTACATTCACACAACCGTTTTAATGCATCAAGCTCAGGTGGAGGCTTTAGCTCCGCCCTTTTTGTTGAAGAGAAATATAACAAGGTTTGATCTAAAATTTGGTCAATCTGGTCCCAGACCTGATCATGCAGAAGCAGGGTTTGACATTGATACGGTGGACATTAGAACTGGTCTTCGTCTCAGTAGGCTGGGATTTTGTGTTCCTCAGTGATGGTTGCTCGGTCCCCATTTCTTTCTGAGACTCCCTAATCTAAACTAAAGGAATTGCAGTAATATTCATCAAAATGATCATAAAAAGTAATTTAATTCCATACTCTGTAGTGAGTAGTGATAAATTCACCATCAGTTTGCTCCAGAGCCATGAACTTGATGATGAAGATCTTTGTGTGGTTTCTCTCAGCGTCCAACGCCGTCTGTCCGTCCAGCTTCCTATCTTGCATCATTCCTACCTCGCCATGATTGGCGGCGTCAGCTCCAGCAGCTCCAGTCTGTTTAGCAGCCGAGATGTTTTTATGCACCACCATGAAGACTTCCTGTACGGCTGAAGGCGTGAAGCCAGGAATCCAGTCGGAGCAACGCTGAGGTCACCATCGGTCAGAGAAATGTTTCTCAAAGATTCTACAGAAAAACTGTTCCTTTGCTGTTTTCTCCTCATCAACAAAGCATGAAAATAATAACTGATTTTTATACAAACACTGTTTATTGATTTATTTTATTTACTTATTTATTTATGAAAGCTTCTGGAGTTTTATTTCAATAAGAATAAAATTGAAATATCTGAAATAAGTTATGTTTTCTGTCATTTTTACAGGATAGTTTTGGCAACTAAAGGTTTTTATTGACCCCAAAGAACAAAAATACACAGACAGGAAGACCAGAAGACATCAGCCAATCAAAATAAAGAGAAGCTGCTTCATGTCTCTCTTTGGCAGCATTTAGAAGTTGGGGGAGCGCGGGACATTTCTGAAGTTTCATCACTTAAACACACCATCTTTGAGCTGCTGCTCACTGGTTTTATACACTGATCAAACAATTAAAGTACCACATTTCACAACCACAGAACAGTGCTGTTGTCTAGCTGCAGACCTGTTCATTCTGTCAGGGGAAAAAAGAGGATTCATGAAGGATTCAGAGGAAGTTGTACCCTCCAACAACCACCAGCAGACGAGGAGGACAAGTGTCATCCCCAAGAACACAATGGCTGACACAGACAGTCCGGGTTTGAACCATGATAATACATCAAACTCATATAGCGCTTGTTTAGGACACTCAAAGACGCTTTCATGCATTCTCCCATTCACACACTGCTAGTGATGGTAAGCTCATTTGTAGCCACAGCCGCCCTGGTGCGATCTGACAAAGGCGAGGCTGCCATTTGGCACCGTCGACCCCTCTGATTATGCACCACCAACACAGGCAAGTTGGGTGAAGTGTCTTGCCCAAGGACACAACAGCAGAATACCCCTGGCGGGAGCTGGAATCAAACCCATGACCCTTCAATCATGAGGCAACCCGCTCTACCTCCTGAGCTACTGCTGCCCCATAAACCATAAAACCAGTGAAGTAAATATTTTTCCTGGAAAAGTTCTTCATGCTTTTGGTTCGTGTTCTGATTCTGATCCAGCCATCTGATCGATCAGCTGAGTGGAAAACAACTAGCAGCCTGTTTGGACAGAACCGTGTGGGGGGAGTTTTCTAGACTCTATAAGCTGGCCTCTCTCTGATCTGACCCTAAAAGAGAACCATGACTGGACTGAAGATCCTCCTCTGGGCAGCAGCTCTGGCCCTGTTGGTCGCTTCTGTGGAGTCCTCATCAGGAGGAAAGGTCTGAGCCAGGTGTCCTGAGGTGTCAAGACCCAACACCCAGCTGTGTTTGTGAATTTTACTTTCTGACAGGAAGTTACAGCAACTACAACTACGACCTCTCTGGCCCGGAGCTGACGGATCTCTACAACCAGCGAGTTTACCAAGCTGAGCAAGTACTAAGGCCGTTAAAAGGATATCCTATTGCTTTCGGAGTTAGCCACACTGGAGTTCGGTCAGTAAAACTACAAGGAAGACCACCTATGGTTAAAGACTCTCATAATAAAATTAAATGTTTTTTCCCCCTTTTCCTCTGAAAGTAAGCCAATAATTGTTCTTGTGAGCTCTTTAAAGTTCTTCCTGGTAATCATTTCAGGATGAATGTATGTTTCATAGCATTTTAAAAGTGTGAGGCGAGTAAATATGGCCTTAGGAAATGTGTGAGGTCCAAACTTCTGTGTTCCTGTATGCTCAAACATGCTGAGATGATTGTTGGTTTTGCAGAGTGATGCTGGAAAACGGCGATCAGTGGCTCATCCATAAAGGAAACGGACGTGGACTCCTCAGACGGTGGTGACTGATGCTCGACACATGAGCTCAGCTTGGGAGGCGAGCTGACATCCATTTGATGTCTTCTCTCCGTGTGTCAACACACACCTGCTCTGGAGCAGCTAGCTACCTAACCTCTTGTTGAAGGTGTTGAGGAAAGGTTCAGCCTCAGATCGGTGGGTCTGATTGGATCAGCTGATTTTGTTTTTGAGTTTAGTGTCAGTGAGGTGAGTGGATCCTTGCGATTCCAGACAGAACCATCATGTTTAGGTCCAATACCAGATTTATTGAACGTGAGTTTGGATCTTTTTTTGTTTGTTTGTTTGTTTTTAATTGGTCTCAGTGTGTTATTAGTCTGGCTGTTTTATATTTGTTTTTATCTTTTCATGTATTTTATGTCTTTAAGTGTCCAGCACTTTGGCCCAATTTGACTGGTGGTATTAAGGTTCTTTATATTAAAAAAATACACAAATAAATTTATTGTTGTTTAGGGGCGACGGTGGCTCAGGAGTTAAGTGCTCGCCCCGTAATCGGAAGGTTGCATGTTCTAGTCTGTTGTTGTGTCCTTGGGCAAGACACTTAACCCAACTTGCCTGCTGGTGGTGGTCGGAGGGACCAGTGGCGCCAGTGCTCGGCAGTCTCGCCTCTGTCAGTGCGTCCCAGGGCAGCTGTGGCTACATCGTACCAGTGTGTGAATGTGTGTGTGAATGGGTGAATGACTGATTGTGCCTTGGGGGGTTCCAGGACTCTAGAAGGCGCTATATCAAATACAGGCCATTTACCCTTTACCAAGGAAACATATGAAAGACTCGTTTTTTTTTTTTAAATATTTTTTGTATTATTTTGCACTGCCTCTAGAAATACTACAAACGTTGAAAACATATCCATCCATCCGTTTTCTGTCAGTGTTTGGTTTCAAGAGAGCTCAAATGAGCTGTTTCAAAAAGTCCCTGTTTGTGATGTCACAATGAGGAAAATTAACATAGAAGCAGCCCCCCCACACACACACACACACACACTTGAGAGGGATTTTATGCACAGAACTTAAAAACATAAAAATAACACGGATCTATTAAAACTTTTTTTAAAAAGATCTTTTAAAAACCCAAACTAGAAAACACTTTGAGATCTCAGATAAAGTCAGGCTGAAATGTTTCTTCTAAACTAAAGATCTCTAAAATCTGTTTGTTGTCAGCTGATCCGCACCAGAAACTTTAAGGGAACCAAGACGGTTTCAGACTTTGTGAGCACTGGGGGACCCAACTATGGCCTAATCAAAGATAACCGCTATGATGGGTCTTGTCGGATAATGGATCAGTGAAACGCAGCTGTTCTGTCCTCTTTATTAATGTTTGTTCCTGATAATGAAAATAAACATTTTTCACCCTAAACTTTCCTCTCCGCTGTTGCTACATTCACACAAAGTAAATGCTGCAAGTCCATGCAGTCTGCTGGGTTTTATTAAAAAATGAACTAATTACAACATGTAGTGCTCTGTAGGTTCAATGAAAATGTCTATAGTGCCTTGTGATGACTTGTGTTGTGCCATCAGGTGAACTTCTCGATGGCTGAGCTTCATCCTGCACCTCCTCTCTCTCACAAACAGCTGATGTTTCATTTCAGATTTTAGTCTTGATTTGTCTGCATTGACAAAATGAAGATCAGTTTTCAGAAAGTTTCGGGGCTGATTAAAGAGGAATTTAATTGTTCTGCTGGTTCTTGCTGAACGCCCACAGCAGGATGGAGGGAGAGAGAGAGAGAGAGAGAGAGAGAGAGAGAGAGAGTGTGTGTGTGTGTGTGTGTGTGTGTGTGTGTGTGTGTGTGTGTGTGTGTGTGTGTGTGTGTGACATCAGTGTCCTGCATCACGTGGCGTCTCTCTGAATGGATGCTGCAGCTTTCTGCTCTGTTGGTCAGCAGAAGAACATCTAGAGTTACATCATTTATGACGTCATGTGTGGAATCTTAACATCTTCAGCAGAACAAACACAAAAGGTTTTAATTATGTTTTAATTGCATAACGGTGATTAAAAACATCCAATCATCTGAAAAGCATCTCGGCCCACAGCTTCCTCATTTATGATTTATGATCCAGAACTTCCCACAGGGAAAACAATAAATAAGACGTTTTGTGTCTGTAGCAATAAAATTAAGCAACATCACACAAGAGGTCGTGCGTTGTTGCTGAATATCAGCACTGGTGTGATTCGATCGTAGACAATTACACCAGTGCTGATGTTCTGCAACAACCCACGACCTCCAGTGTGATATTGCTTTAATACAACAGTTCTAGCTGATCATTTTATTTTTTATAACAACAATAAGCAACAACAGATTATGATTTGTTCATTTATTTAATCATTTATCAGGCTCCGCCAACACATATAGTCCCAACACAAAACGGAGACTCAGACAAGGCTGTTGCTAGGCAACACAAACATTTTCTACAATAGCGGTTAGCGCCTGTGCACAGCGGAGTGATCATGTTTGTAAACAGTCCCAGTGCTGTTATAGTCCAATATCAGCACGCTTGGAAAGTCTCTTGACCAATCAAATCACTCGGTCAGAACTAACTGTCGTATAATAAAGTTTTTATGACACGTTTAAACTTCATTTGGGATTTATTATAATAAATCAGCTCTTTTCTTCCTTTTTTTATAATAAATTAGATTTAGATTAGACGTTTGTCTCATCTGGTTTTATTCCTCATGTTTCATGACTAAATGAAAGTTTTTGTCTGTGAGTCTGAAGCTGCTGCAGATGGTCGGTACTAGAACCAGAACCAGAACCAGCTTTTCTCCATTAGAACCACCCGGTCTTGGTCTGCAGGGATAAAATGCTTTTGCATGAGAAGAAATGAGGCCCTGACAGAACTGACTGAGGTTTTTATCTGACCCTGAACGCAGCATCAGCTGTGAACGGAAACCTGACAAACTGAGAATCAGCTCATGAAAGCATCTGTTTCCAAATGTTTGCTTTGTTTTCCCTCATCTGGTCCAACCTGAGGGGAGAAACTCTTTATTCTTCTCTCGGGTTCCTTCAGAACGAGTTGAATAAAGAGAAGTTTGTGTTTTTAACATGTGAAATAAAGTTTGACCAGACTACTTTTTGTCTGACGTGAACTGAAACTCGTAATCATTAGAATCAGTTCTTTAGAACCTTTCTTAATCCTCAAAGCTCATGTGACCTAATTCAGAAACGAAAGCACCTGCGAGGTTTGGAAGTTCTGACAGAATAAAACGTTTTTTCAAATCCTGTTTTCTTCGTTGCTCTTCCTCTTTGCGATAACTCCCCCTCGTCTTCCTCTTCCCCTTTTCTCGCCTCAGTGGTTCTGGATCAGAGCTGGACACAGTCATGGTGGTTTTCTTTCCACCCATAGGGACAGCTGATGCCTTTCTCCAGAGTTCAGGCCACAGACCTCAAGCTCTGGTAACCTTTGCTCCGCTGGGACCGCAGCAGAGGTGTTTGGGTGTCCACGTCTCGTAAAAAAAACTTGAGACTGGCTCGACGCAGGTGAGCACAGGTCCATCCGTAGACCAGACAGTTGAGGAAGCCCTGAGAGGCAGCGGTGAGAGCCTGAGGACAGAAAACAGTCCGTTAGAGGAGAGTCGGTGGAATAATAAATTATATAATTTATGTTTTAGATCATAGAAACACTTTCTGCTGTCCCAGATGATTAAAAATCTATAAAGGAGACAAATTAAACTATATCATCATCACCATCATGATCTAAAACTACAGCAGACTTCAGTGGCAGACCAAAGCAGCTCTGAGTTTTCAGTTTTGTTTAAAAGGTTAAAAACACACAAAACCACCTAAATGTTTAGAATGATCAAAACATGAGTCTCAATGGTGGCGATAATCTCCGAGCTGAAAACAAACTGATCGTTCAGACTGACCTGAAGTATGTAAAGGACGACTATCACCAGACCGTGATGCGTCAAGGGTCGGAACACTCGCAGCAGAGCCAGAGTCACGGCTAACCAGGGAACACACACACACACACACACACACACACACACACACACACACACACACACACACACACACACACACACACACACACACACACACACACACACACACACACACACACAGAGGCCATCAGGATGACCAACATCAGGTCTGTGCAACAACAACAGCATCTGTACAGAAACCCTAACCTGGACCCCAGCAGAGGACAAACACCAGCGGGTACAGGATCATCCGTCGGTCCATCACTTGGAACAAAGTCCGCTGCTCGTTGCCAAGGTAACCATGTGCTGACACAACCCGCCTGTAGATACGACGAGCTCTTACCACCATCACCTGAAGCAGGTTGAGCAAATATAACAGAATTTACCAGAACATTCTGCTTCTGTCATAAAACTAAACATAGCTGTTTCTGTGAGCAAAGATCTAGTTTGTCTCCTTAAGTTTAACATTGTTTTCTCTGCTCTCATCATTAATGTTTGATGCTCATAAACCTTTAAATGCTGACATGTTTGATCTGGTCAGGCTCAGTTTTAAAGTCCCATCTGGTTTCTGCCTGTGATACTCACACTGGTGCTGAGGAGAGTCAGGAGGAAGGTGCTGAGGAAGACTATGATCTGGTAGGTGTGCCACAGACTGCAGGATGAGCTGATCAGCTGATCTGAGGTCAGGTACAGCGCTCCAGTGTGCATCAGCAGACACCTAGGTTCAGTAGAGACATCATGAGGGTCAAAACCAAACACTTCTGTTGTTTTCTCTACAGAATCTGGATAGCTGCTTTCTTTTCAGTAACACTTTACAACCAGGGTCTCCTTATTAACATTAGTGCATTATTGAGCATTAAAATGCTATTAAATAAAGTGTTAAAGGATTTTATGCATTACATAGTGTTACTAACCATATTATCTGATGCATTAGTAAGCAGTTAACTAATGGTTATTTCTAAACCTCACTAATACAGTAATAAGCATTAAATATTGGTTGCAGTATGTAATTCCTTAGCATTATGCATGTAAGTTCGAAACTCGGCTCGGCTGTGGCCTTTCTGCGTGGAGTTGCGTGTTCTCCCCATGCATGCGTGGGTTTCCACCGGGTACTCCGGTTTCCCTCATAGATCACAACATGCCCTATAGCTTATAAATTGTAAGTCGCTTTGGATAAAGCGTCTCCTAAATGAATAAACATAAACATAATTATCTGCATTAATTACAGTTTTAGTTAATGTGTTAGTAAACCCTTAATACCATAAATAAAGGGATCCTTGTTGTAAAATGTTACCTTCATTTGTGTAGCTCAGGTGTGACCTCACCTGTAAGGTTTGGTGAAATTGGCCTGGCACTGGCTTAGGTTTCCTTTAATAAATACAGGAGTCATCAGCAGCAGAGGAACCAGACTGGAAAAGAGGAATTCATCATCATCATCATCATCATTAACATCTTCATCAACCTTCATCATCATCTTCATTAACATCTTCATCAACTTTCATCAGCATCATCATCTTCATCATCATCATCATCATCATCTTCATTAACATCTTCATCAACTTTCATCATCATCATCATCATGATAATCCTCATCAACCTTCATCATCATCATCATCATCATCTTCATCATCGTCATCTTCATTAACATCTTCATCAACTTTCATCAGCATCATCATCATGATAATCCTCATCAACCTTCATCATCATCATCATCATCATCATCTTCATCATCGTCATCTTCATTAACATCTTCATCAACCTTCATCATCATCATCATCATCATCATCGTCATCTTCATTAACATCTTCATCAACTTTCATCATCATCATCATCATGATAATCCTCATCAACCTTCATCATCATCATCATCGTCATCTTCATTAACATCTTCATCAACTTTCATCAGCATCATCATCATGATAATCCTCATCAACCTTCATCATCAGCATCATCATCATCATCATCTTCATCATCGTCATCTTCATTAACATCTTCATCAACTTTCATCATCATCATCATCATCATGATAATCCTCATCAACCTTCATCATCATCATCATCATCTTCATCGTCATCTTCATTAACATCTTCATCAACTTTCATCAGCATCATCATCATGATAATCCTCATCAACCTTCATCATCATCATCATCATCATCATCATCATCTTCATCATCATCATCGTCATCTTCATTAACATCTTCATCAACTTTCATCAGCATCATCATCATGATAATCCTCATCAACCTTCATCATCATCATCATCTTCATCATCATCATCATCATCATCGTCATCTTCATTAACATCTTCATCAACTTTCATCAGCATCATCATCATCATGATAATCCTCATCAACCTTCATCATCAGCATCATCATCATCATCATCTTCATCATCGTCATCTTCATTAACATCTTCATCAACTTTCATCAGCATCATCATCATCATGATAATCCTCATCAACCTTCATCATCATCGTCATCTTCATTAACATCTTCATCAACTTTCATCATCATCATCATCATGATAATCCTCATCAACCTCCATCATCACCGTCATCACCAACAACCTACATAACCACCACCATCACCATGGAGGTGTGTTCACTCACCATGAGCTCAGCGCTATGACTTTGGCACTCGTTTTTACTCTGTTAGAAAACTGGAGAAAAAATATAAAATCAATGAAAGCACCAAATTAATCAGTCTGACTTTTTTCATGTGATTTAGAGACTTTCTAACTCTTCTAAAAATCACAAACACAGTTTTGTTTTTATACAAAAACAAGGAAGAGTAAAAATAAATAAACTAGAGTTTGTTATTTAAAGAAATCTCACCAGAACCAGATTTATTTATCCTTTCTTATCTGAACAGTTTAAGAGTGATCTGGTGGGTTTGGGTTCACCTGGACCGAATATCCGCTGTAGCAGCTGTGGAACTTCTCTCTGATTGTTGTGTACAGGTTCCACACGTAGTTTAACGTGTAGAAGAACGAGGCCATGTACAGAACCTGAAACAGAGTTTGGGTTCAGAAACTTTCACCCAGAAAACTTGGTCCGTGTTCCCGCTTCTTAGCTTCCGGGAAGTTTGAGCATGCGCACTAGATATCAGTGTGAGTTGTTGATTCGAAGTATTTACACTTCATTGGACTGAAGAATGCCAGTCTTGTTCATTAAACGTTTTGTTATTTTATGTTAAACAAATAAGTTATAATGATTTAAAAACATAAACATGATATGTTCATGTTAAATAGACAAATTTCCATTTAACCAATCAAACAAATGCCTTAGTTGACTTTTTTGGGTGTGAGCTCCCTCCGGCGATTGGAGGGTTAAACCATCAGACAACAGAAGTAGGTCAGCAATGTTTCTCTGTAGTTTCTGTTCTGTCCTGCTTTTGCTGCTCTTCTTCACCCCTATGATGACCCAGTTCTGGACCAGGCTGTCTGGGCCCACTGACCCATTAGAACCAGCCGGGATGGAGAACTTTGCAGTCAGAGCATCAGCATGACTCAGCAGATTTGAATTTAGTTTAATCGATGCATCCGAATAATGCAAAGTGCTGAGCTTTTAAATTCTAGTCAGTTCTCCATTCATGTGAACTGGCTTATGTGTGCATCCCCCCAGAAAAGATCCGTACTGGAAGTAAAACAGGAAGTGAACATTAGATTCTGAGCAGACGGGTAAACCAGAGCATTGTCCGCTCACGAAATAAATCAGGACCAAAAGGTGAAGCTAAGGTTTTTAGACAGATCTTCTGTTTTCACCCCGGGTCCGGCCCAGGAAGGGAACCAGATGGTCTGAGTTCAACCCTAACCCTGATCAGGTCTCAAATACACATATGGTCACAGAACCAGTAATCCCCTCAGACTGTAGCCTGGATTACAGATCCAGGGTCTGAGATTAAACTTGTTCAAACTGGCTTTTGCGTGACCTTTGTCATCACCCTTTCCTTATTCTGTTCTATTTCCACCTTTCCCAGGATCCACTGATTTCCCTCTATCCTATTCATTTTCTCTCTCCCTTTCCTTACATTTTTATCACAACATTTATTTCTCATTATGAACATATTTTTAATGAATTTTAGAAATATCATTTATATTTTAATCTTTTTTGTGTGTTTTGTTTTATTGTGAAGCTCCTTATGAGTTTTATCTTGAGAGGCGCTATTTAAAAGATCCGTTTCTTTCTTTCTAAATCACAATAACACAAATCAGAACCTGCTGCTCCAGTTCTCACTCAGAGGTTTTCAGTCACATTTTATTTCAGTTTAAAGACCCACTCTAATATAAATCATGTTTTTTCCTGTTTTAAAATATTTTTGAGGTATTTTTCTTGTGCTGCAGGACATGTCTAAAGAAATTTAAGCTCTTCTGAATATTTCTGCATTCAAATCGCTGTGAATCAGTAGCAGACGAAAACGTCCACCCAAAACTTACTGGCATTGTTACGTCACCAAGCCAATGGCGGAGCACAAGCTCCACTAGTAGAGAAATAGATGGATGTTTATCAGACTTCAAATGTCAAATTGACAGCTCAACTAGTGAGACTCCTGACTTACACCTAGAGAGTCCCTGTCCTCTGAGCCAACGGCTCCGCCCACAACCCACAGGTGAATTTTACTAGAAAACAACACAGGTTTTGTGATTTTGGCTAAAAACAGCACAATCATAGTTTAAAGACCACTGAGAACTATTTAAAACAGCCACAAAAGATTATTAGAGTGGGACTTAAAAAGGATTTGGATGATCTTTCACAGTCAAAGCTTCATAGTTTTTAGTCTTTACTTTCTGTCTTTTATCTAATTAAAACACTTAGAATCCCTTAGTTGAATCGAGCCATAAAAACAAACGTTTTTAGATGGAGTCCCTTTTTGCTAAAATGTTTCAGGGATTGAAAGAACTTTTTAGGAGACAGGTTGTTGCTGTTTGCAGACCGCCGTGTGTTTCTGTTGTTTTTCTGAACAAGTCGTGAGTTTCCAGCGGTGATGGGATTGTGTCCCAGGAGGAAACACAACTCACTTCCTGACAAGGTTTCACTGATGGAAATCACTCAGTGTTCTCAAACCTCAGGGAAAATATCAGAACTTTCCCCTGAACATCCCAGCAGTACGTCAGAATCAGAATGTGTGTGTGTGTGTGCATGCGTGTGTGTGTGTGTGTGTGTGTGTGTGTGTGTGTGTGTGTGTGTGTGTGTGTGTGTGTGTGTGTGTGTGTGTGTGTGTGTGTGTGTGTGTGTGTGTGTGTGTGTGTTACCTGCTCCACCGTGTGCAGGTTGTAGCAGAGTGTGTTCAGGTTGCTGCAGCGCTGAGAGAAGAGAACAGCTCCAACGAGCCAGCAGAGGGCGAGCAGGAGGTCGGTCACACTGAGCAGGAACAGCGGCTGCAGCTGGAACACAGCATGAGACACACCCCATGACCTCTGACCTCTGACTATCTGGACGAGGTGTCTTTTTCTCTCAGATCTTGTTGATGGAATCAGCTAATGGCTGATGACATCATCTTAGCTCTACACTCTGATCTGATTTCTTCTTTGAGCCTAAAAACACAACCTGGATTTTTTCACCTATATATTGATCAACATAGTGACCTTTCGTCTACAGAAATAAATCCACTTTCTGGTTGGCCTTCCAAACCCAGAAGATTCTGTTCAGTGAGTGTTTACATACCATGAAGATAAAACATTCAAACATTCTCACGCAAGGTTCTTGCACTCACAGTGTGAACACCAGACATCTGAAGGAAGGTGTGGCTTTCTGAGGGACGTTGGTAAATACTCAGAAACGTGTCAAATTCTGATTTGTCAAACTTGGCCAGAAACCATAACAAAGTAGTTTAATAAAACAAAAATGACTTCCCAAGTAATTCAGTTTCCAGCTGAACCCCCGATTCAGCGAAATCGGGAAAGAAGCCTCTTTTGAAACAAACTCCTTTGACCTTAAGTCAAACCCTTTCTGCGACGCTGCGAGTGATTACAGACACAACAGCTCTTTTCAGAGCTACTTCACACCTAACCTGCAGACACCGGGCTGCATCTCATGGCCGGGGAAGCTGAACTCAGAGGAAGCTACTAATCTCTGAGTATTGTGGTTTTGGCGTCCGGTGACCTCACCACTCTGATCGTAAGCCTGCATACTGGTGTCTGATGAGGTTTCTATCAATAACTAACTCTCTAGTTTATAACAAACAACAAATTATTTTACACCCAGATTTCGCAATTTCTCTCAGATACAAAGAACGGTTGCTACAACATCTAGCTTCCATCACAACACCTCACATCCACCACACTACATCTCATTAGTCATATCCTGTCATGTATAAATGATTAGTTTAGGAAAAAGAATTAAATTCATTTTATAAACTAAATACTGACTGTCTGAATTAATACGAAGGGTTTTTATGGTCCCTGAATAAGCAAAGAACCCTAGAATCTTCCGATTAAACATTCAAAGATCAATCAGATTGATAGTCCATATTTATATGGAATATCACATCTTATTGGTCATAATTAATATGTATTAATTGCTACAGGACCAAATGTGTTTCATATGAATGCTAATGAAAATGTTTCCATCTCAACCAGAGCCTCCCTTTAATGAGGCTACCTGGATAAAGAAACGATACGAAGCCCTTTCTCCTCCTGATTGGTCCCAGGAGTCTGATCCGACAGCTGATTGGCTGCTAAGAGAATTCCGCTCTCATTTACAGAAGAGATCATTTTGGTGGCTGGACTTCCTCTAGTCTTCTAAGTGGTTCTGGAGGACTGCTTTAGTGTTTGAGGACTTTGGTTGATCTTTCTGCCAGAAGGTTAAAGGTGGCCTACAGTGATAGTGATGATGATGATGATGCTGATAATGATGATGATGAAGTTAGCGACTCACCTCTGGCTTCTTTCTGAGTCGCTGTGAAATCAGGCAGAAGATGATGGAACTCGAACCCAAAATGCTGCAGAAAACAATGGAATCAGCGCTCGAGATGTTCAAATCAAGATTGTTTATAATAGCATGCTAGCTCTGGAGTTAGCCACCCGCTAATTCACCTCCTCCCAACAGAAGCCTCACACACACACACACACATACACACACACACACACACACACACACACACATAAACTCTGTGTTATCAAAGGCGACGATGGAGCAATGAAATGAGCTCTAATCAGATTATTTTACACTCGACATGTTCTTTTCTCTCTGAAATCTGACCTCTGACCTCTTTCCCACTAACTCATGAAGAAGAACTTTGTGTTTAACATGCTGCAAAGCTTCAAAACAGAAAGAAAATGAGCTAACCTGCACAGAGCCATAATGAGTTGGATCCACTGGACAGCCTTGTAAACCTACACACACACACACACACACACACACACACACACACACACACACACACACACACACACACAGTAAAGATCTTATAGTTTCTGTTGCTCAGCGAGCTGCAAATGACAGATTTAAAAATAGAGAACAGAAAGTGTGTGTGACACAAAAATCCCCTGAGTGGAGATTCAAACAGGAGAAAGTTTATTCATCTTCTTGTAAAACCAGACTTAAACGAGCTCTAACTTGCTTTAGTTCATTTCAGTCCTCTTCTGAATGATTTCTTCTGCTTTGTGATTCCACATTCATCATTAAACTAAATGTGGATGATTAAGCATGACGTTTCAGAGAGGTCCACCCTGTGAGGCTTTGAGCGGGACTTTAAATCCCACAGCCCTCCTGGCCCCATGATTATAACAGAAATATACTAAATACCTTACAGGATAATTACTATTAAATGAAAACATATAAAAATATAACACAAAACAAGAAAAATACAAAGGATTATTTTTCTCGTAAATGGAATCTTTACGAAATGATTCTGTTTTAGTTTTTATTCTGATGAAACCGTATTTTATTATAAAATGTTAAAGAAACACTCTGGATGTTAATTTAGTCACTTAATCATTAGTTTTAAATTAATAGTTTTTTTATGTACAATCTTTAGACTTTTCATTAAATGCAGATGAAGTTAGAAACTGGACTGGTTCTGATCCAGGTCATCAAGTCAAAAACTCTAAATCATATTAGTCCTGTGGAGGTCGCCTGTTTCTGTGTCAACCTTCATCCGAGACGCCTGCTGATGTTTATGATGTCAGACAGGAAGACTTACCTTAGTCCAGTCCCGAGCTGTGGTGACGTTAGAGGAGTTGGTAAAACCCTGCATCTCTGAGGACCACATGATGAAGTCAGACTGAAGGACGTCAACCAGAGGCCAAATCTTATCCTCCAGAGGGCGGTACTTATCTGTTCTGACCCCACCCACCAGGAGAAGCTGCAGCCAATCAGAGTGAGAATGCCCCAGACTCAAACACCTGCAAGACAAAACTTACAGCAACTTCTGGTTCTCAGGAAACATTTCATGTCCAATTTATTTTACAAGAAGTTAAACTGAAACTCTGATCCGATTAAAACTAAATAAAAATCTGACAAAGTCCAAAATCAGTGGTTCTGGTCCCATGAGATTTAACTCTTCTTCACTGACCTAGAAGCACTGGGGCCAGTCAGCTGGTACCGGTCCAAACCTAACAGAACAACTCAGGTCTCACCCCCTTTGTTCTTTATTTACAATTATTTTCTTCAGATTTGTTTAACGTTGACTTTTGTTTTAAAACCTGAACTTGAACCCTGACCCCATACAGAACGGAGCCGACTCCCTGATCAGAATCTGATGAAGGCTCTGATTGGATCAGCCAGCATCTTTTATCTGAAACAGATTAAATAAACTCATGCGTAATTTGCTTAAAACAGAAAACATCAATTTATCTCAGATCTAGGACCTTGTAGTTTATTGGCGCCCCCTGCTGGACAACGCCGATAGTTCAGCACCAAAGAGCAAGTCACCCCCAAATCACATTTTTTTTGCTGATAAACTATATAAAGGAGTGTCTAATCGTGCTACAGACATGTGTAGTCAATAATTTGGCAGTTCAGTGCATCTTGGTTAAAATTCAAATATTCTGCCTAAAACTGTCAGTGTTGCGCCGTCGTCAGGGAAAAATTGTGCACTGTATTTGAATTTAAATCTGCCACCGCTATTGGCTAAGAGGTATGCTATGATGTCATCTGGTACATTATGATGTCATAATGCCATTGTGAGTCTGTGTGTGTTTGTTAGCGGCTCCGCTAGGGTTGTCACGGTATGAAAATTTAACCTCACGGTTATTGTGACCAAAATTATCACGGTTTTCGGTATTATCGCGGTATTTTTAAACGGTGTTGCATATGTTCAGAAAGCATTGATAGTCCTGTTCTACACAAACTGAAATAGTTTTGAAAATGTTTAACAGTGTTTATTAAACCTAAAATAACACAAAGCCTTAGCAAAAGTGCAACTTTTCACAAGTAAAGGAACAAATAGCTTCTTTTTCTGGAACATGTTACAGTAGTCAGTGCAGGTTTAAATTATACAAATCCAAACATTCAAAACATAAACAATATGTAAACAAATCAAAGAAACACCACTTGTTTTCTCATATACTTGTTTTCTTCATTATCAAAATGAAAATCTAAAACTCCAGTCCACACTTGACTTGAGCACTGTACAAGTCAACCTTAAAAAATATGTATTTAAAACAAATATCCACTTTAAACAAATTACTAAAATAACTACTACACTATGTAATCAAATCCAAATGTTCAAGTATAAATGGCATTGAATAAGTAAACAAATCAATGACAAGGAACTAATTGTATATTTCTCTTCATCATCAACAAATAAGATGCTTCATCCAGCAACAGGGTGTCCGTGACACGGTTTAAATGCTGGCAGAGGACGCTGCTGCTGCAGTTTATAGTGACTCGTTGCATTCTCCCTCAACCAAAAGTCCTCGCGTCATGCATTTAAGCTAAAATGCTCATGTTGACTTACCTTGCACTGGCTGTAGAGACGTGGGTGATCGTCACACAGATGTGCCATTAGATTCGAAGTGTTACCTTTTGCAGACACTTGTTTCCTGCACGTTCTGCAAACGGGATAGCAGTCTTCTAGTAACTGTCCCTCAGCATTTTTCAGAAATCCCAAATATGCCCATACTTCCGATTTAGTCTTCTTTGAGGGCGGATGGATGTCCTGGGCGCTGCCGTCTCCTCCTTCGGCCATTATTTCAGCTTCAAAGTTTTGGTGCCGTTGCAAATTAAAAAGTGCGTGTGCGCGCCGCGGGAACTTCAGCTGAAGCGACGGTGGCTGGTAAGGGTCATCGCGCCGAAACCGCGGCCACGGTAAACCCACCGAGATAATATAGTTTTTTAAAAACTGGACGGTTATTTTTATTGTCAACTTTTTTACCGGGGTTTACCGCTATACCGGTTACCGTGACAACCCTAGGCTCCGCCCTCTCGGTCTGCCAAGCAACAGCATTTGTTGCATTTTTCAAACATGAAGTGGGAGTGAAGTAAATTTCTTGTAGGGGGTGACTTGCTCTTTAACTTTTAAGTTTTGTTTCATCAAACAAGAATATAAACATCTCCACGTTCTGATCTACAGACGTGTTTTCTGACAGTGAATGTTTTCTGCAAAACTAGACTTTAAAACTATTTTAGCAGCAAAACACAAAAACAGCAGAGGAATGGAAACGTCCCAGCAGTGTCAGCCTCATTTATTCATCTGGAACAGAAATATTTATGTTTCACATCTTTGTTTACAGTCTTGCTGTCCTTGAGCAAGGCAGCAGCGGTGAAGCACCAAACTGTTTTACAGGATAACGTTACAGAACTGGTGTTGGTTCTTCTTGCAGAGATGACATCACTTCCCATCAAATTACATCAGTAACTATGGATGACAGGGTGAGTGTCTGCAACTCTAAAATGGAAGTGTTCTTCTAGAGAAATGCGATTCACCCATTCACACTCTGGTGGTGATGAACCACAGCATCACAGGGTGGGTGAGGGTTTGAACCTGGGACTCTGACCCGTTGCTCAGGCAGAACCTTTTGACCAAACAGAACCTTTGGCTGAGTGGCTCTCATCACCAGCTTTCATTACAAACACGTCTTCATGTCTGATTGTAAACAACTACCTCTGCATTGAAATTGCACACATTTGCTGCTATATGTTGTATATTATTAGCGATATTTACCTGTTTAATATCATCTTATTGTTAGGGATGTTTTTTTTGTTTTGTTATTGTTGTGCATCTGCACTTTATGTAAATGTCTATGCATGGGACAGTGTGAAACGTAATTTCAATTCCTTGTATGGCAAGCACATTCGAAGAATTGACAAAGTATTCTATTCTATTCATGATACAGCTGATGGTGCAAAATAGTGAAAAGGCACAAAAACAAAAGACTTGAACTCTCCTCACCTCCTGTTTGGTTCCATTGAGGCGACGATGGCACAAAAGTTAAGTGCTCACCCCGTAATCAGGTTTGAGCCCCGCTCAGTCTCACTGTTGTTGTGTCCTTGAGCAAGACACTTAACCCACCTTGCCTGTTTGTGGTTTTCGGAGGGACCGGTGGTGCCTACATACGGCAGACTCGCCTCTGTCAGTGAGTCCCAGGGCAGCTGTGGCTACAATGTAGCTCATCATCACCAAGGTGTGAATGACTGCGTTGTAAAGCACCTTGGGGGGTTCTGTGACTCTAGAAGGCCATTTACCATTAAACCGGGTCAGAACAGAATTCTTCATTTTACTAAAGAGGCCTCAGCATTTACCTGAAGGACAAATCTCAGTCCACATCTGGACCTGATCTGCTCTCCTGCTTGACAGAACCACTACAGGTCTGACTCTTCTGAGCTGCCCTACTGCAGACATGATTCCTACGGAGGTCACATGATCAAACATCATCACAGTTCCAGCTGAGCAGAATATCTGCCAGTTTTAGTCCTCAGACCTTTGACCTTTTAAGTCTAGACGCTGTAGGACTCAGCTGTTGTCCTCCTCCTCCGGTGCCGGTACTAGTAGGGAGTTCTCTGACTCGTGTTTCTTCATATGTTTACGAAAGCTTCTGACTCCGCTCAGGTTCTTCTGACAGATGCTACAGAAGTACGGCTGAGAGTCTGAGTGTGAGTCCACGTGGTAGGTGAGTTCCAGGGCTCGGGTGAAGCTCTTGTTGCAAAGAGGACACTGGTATCGGACTCCTGAGTGGGTCAACTGGTGATTCTTGAGCACACACAGCTGTTTGAAGGTCTTCTGGCAGACAGAGCACTGGTACGGCCGGGCGTCGGTGTGGACGCGCAGGTGTCTGCGCAGGGCGCTGGAGAAGGTGAAGTTCTTGCTGCAGACAGAGCAGGTGTAGGGCTTCTCTCCAGTGTGGATCCTCTGGTGCTCCTTCAGGTGGACCTGCTGGATGAAGCTCTTACTGCAGGTGGGACACTGAAACGGGCGCTCCCCTGAGTGGATCCGCAGGTGTTTCTGCAGCGCTGAAGCCTTGAAGCAGTCCCGGCTGCAGACAGGACAGCAGTGTCCGCTCCTGCCACCAGAGCTGCTGTTGGCCCGTGGGTTTGAGGGGCAGACCGAGTCAGGGGGGACGGCTGGGCCTGTCAGACACAAAAAGGATCAGTAAGACCCACAGTTTGGTTTAAAAAAAGGGAATATAGACTATTAAAAATGTTAAATATCAGCTCATACCAATAAAAATTATGTTTAAATTCTGGACCAGAACTCATGTAAAAGCACCACACCTATAAAGGCACCACACCTGTAGAAGCACCACACCTATAAAGGCACCACACCTATAAAGGCACCACACCTATAAAGGCACCACACCTGTAGAAGCACCACACCTGTAGAGGCACCACACCTGTAGAGGCACCACACCTGTAGAGGCACCACACCTGTAGAGGCACCACACCTGTAGAGGCACCACACCTGTAGAGGCACCACACCTGTAGAGGCACCACACCTGTAGAGGCACCACACCTGTAGAGGCACCACACCTATAGAAGCACCACACCTGTAAAAGCACCACACCTGTAAAAGCACCACACCTGTAAAAGCACCACACCTGTAAAAGCACCACACCTATAAAGGCACCACACCTATAAAGGCACCACACCTATAAAGGCACCACACCTATAAAGGCACCACACCTATAAAGGCACCACACTTGTAAAAGCACCACACCTATAAAGGCACCACACCTATAAAGGCACCACACCTATAAAGGCACCACACCTATAAAAGCACCACACCTATAAAGGCACCACACCTATAAAGGCACCACACCTATAAAGGCACCACACCTGCAGAAGCACCACACCTGTAGAAACAAGGTTTATTTTTCATCTGAACGTGTACCTTCATGTTTCAGCTTCCATGACTCCTCCTCTCCATCGGAGTTAATCAAACCGCTGACGTTTTCCTCCTCAAGTCGCTCTGACAGCGTCCCCTGGTTGCCACGGTTACCAGCCACAGAATTAGAAATAGAGATGAGGGACTCAGCAGTGGAGGACAGCTGTTATCAGGGGATGAAAATAGAAATAAAACAACCTGGAAGCTCGTTTTATTTTAATGAAATCTTTTAAATGATCAACATTAGAAAACACTGTGATGACGTCAGAGTTCCTGTTCACATTCAGCATTCAGAATAAACAGCTCTGTAAACAAATCAGTAAATATTTCTAGGTATCGGGCTGGCTGAGGCTAACCCAGTAGTAAAAGCCAGCCGGCTACTGCTTTAGAGCCCACTTCCACAGAAACCATTCATTAAACTAAAATACCTGATCAAGATAACGTCTCTAGTTTCAATAAAACAGACTTTATGATGCATTTAAGGTACAGCTTGTAAGTCTAAAAATCTGTGCTGGTTGTTATTGAAAAAAATTCTGTATTTATCCTCCTTTCACTCATACAGAGGTCTACGCAAGAGGAGTAGGGCCGCTGAAAAGAAAAAAGAAAAGAATTCCGACATTTCGACTTCAGGGAAAAAAGTCAGAATTCTTTTCTTTTCAATGGTCCTAATCCTCTTGCATAGAGGTCAAAGGTCAAGCACTATTTTTATGGGTCAGAGCCTTTTTTAAATGAAAACTTTTTTACACTTCAGGCAGTAAACAACTACAATAATAATGAAAATGTTTAAAATAACACTATTAATAACAATCAAGTTTATTATTATTATGAGTTAAGGTAAAACCTGTGACACGGGCAGCAGGTAAAGCAGAGCTTTTCTCACCCGTGTTTCCGCTTCTTCCTTCTTCATGTTCTTCTTCTTCTCTCCATCTTCAGTCCTCATGTGGAACCAGAACTCCTGAATGGAAAAAATCCAAAAGGACTTGTGAGGAAACGGATTAGAGGAAAGATGCAGCTGAAGAACCAGACTGAGACCAGCTGCTGGTACCAAACTGTTGATCCAGTTTCTACTGGTTCTGTTTGTGTCGACACAACTCTGGCTCATCCCTTGAGTTAGGAGTCTTTGTTTCAGAGGTCTAAGATCAGAATGTTCCAGAATAAAAATGGAGGAAAAAAATGTAGAAAATCCATAGAACTGGATCAGAACCAGGAGACCAGACTACAGGAAGTCTGGATACTGGGAGGAAAACCTGATAAAGGGTTCTGGACTGAATCAGTATCTATGTTTTTAAAACCTCTAAAGGGATTAACAAATCAGCTGTACTCCTTAAGTTCCTTCCACGACTCATTTGGGTCACCTTGTCTGCCGGGTCGGCGATGACTCCGTCCCGGATGTGGACCTTCATGTGTTTTCGGAGCAGACAGGGTTTCAGGTAGCTCTTGGAGCAGATGTGGCAGCGATGAGACCTGGCCTTGGTCTTCATGCTGCACCTGGTGGTCTCTGAGCTCGCTGAGGGGCGGGGTGGATCCCCTGTTGCATTGTGGGAATTCTGGTGCTCTTGGAGCTCAGATAAACTCGAGAAGAGCTTCTCACAGAGGGAGCAGCTGAGAAGCTCCGTCGTCCTAGCAGGACTCTCCTCTGCTGAACAGACAAGTGACAAGAATTTAAATCCCACCAGGACAGACGGGTAAACACAAAGCTCTGATTTACTCACCGGTCAGTGAACACAGCAGTTCATCATTTCTTTTCTCCATCTTCAGAACATCATCGATGTCCAGCGACTCGTCTGGTTTCTATAATGAACAGAAAGTCAAACCTTTCACGTTTCTGCAGGCTTTTGGCTGAATATAAAAGCTTTGTTTAATCAGCGATCAGATCCAACAAGATGCAGAAGATCTGAGCGTTTCTTTGCCAAAAATCACAGAACTACAAACTCAACAAGATTCGATTTAGTTCAAGCTCAAAACTCTGTTTCAGTCGTTGCTTTGGGGCCAATCAGAACACAGCAAACTGATGAGTCATCCTAACATGTTCACTTCCTGTTACACCTGTTGGTCCTCACCTGTGGGGCTGTAGGCTGTGGTGAAGCACGGTGAGGGGCGGTGCCAGAACGACTGTGGATCTCCTGGTGCTTCCTCAGAGTTCTCTGCACCGTGAAGCGCTTCATACACACATCACACTGAAACGGCCTCTCTCCAGTGTGAGACCTCATGTGGTCCTTCAGCCGGCTCGATCTGGAGAACCCTCGACCACAGATGTCACAGGAGAAGCGCTGCGTTGCGTGGTGAAGCTGTTTGTGTTCTGCAAGCTCATCCAAGGAACTGAATTCCTCCCGACATAGGTAGCAGCTGATAGAAACCTGAAGGGTCAGAGGTCAAAGGGTCAAACATGGTCAGGTCAGTAATGTAGTGCTCACCTGGGGTCTCATTTATCGAACATTGCGTAGAATCCTCACTAAAACCATACGTAAGCTCAGCAAAACAATTTACTTACGCCAAGTAGGTTTGTGATCTATCAAACATGGAGTATGCACAGCTGCACGCAATCTCCGCTTCATAAATCGGAGACTAACAAGAATGTTTCTCAGCTACATTTTAGTCACATCCCGCTCTCACTTACTGCCATAAATAGTCAATGCAAAGTGCCTTGTGGATCTCATGCATATACATAAAACGGCTGTTGCAGCGCTCCGCCAATGACGATGGCAACCGTAGATCAAGGCAGATCAAGGAAGCACAATTTCACAGAAGCAGAAATTGAGGTACTTGTGGGTGAGGTGGAGAAATGAAAGGAAGTGCTTTTGCAAAACAAATAAGAGAAAATCCACGAAGTGGTACAGCGTTGCTGAAGCCGTCAATGTTGTGAATTCTTCAGAGAGATCTGTGGCGGATATAAAAAATGGTCTAACCAGGATTCGATCCGTAGACTCCCGGGTGTAAGTCATGCACGCTAACCAGTCAGCCAAACAGAGATCCCCCCTGTACAGGTAGTCAGGGCGCATGATCAATCGGGTCACGGTGACAGGACACACACACTGTCACAGACGCATGACATTCTGTCTCAATCTGTCCCCCTGCTGATATTCTGCATTCCATATTCTGCGCTTCAGGCTGGCTGGCTGTGTGTGTGTGTACAAGCACGTGTGCGTGTGTGTGCGTGTGGGGGTCTTGTTCTGTGTGAAAACAAAGCGGTACAAGTGATAATGCTGCAGGATTTCATAATTGTATCCTTCTCAGCAGCAGCACTGCAGGTGCTCTCCATGTCCAAAATGTGTGCAAGGCCCTTAGTCAACTTAATGTTGCGCACATTTTTCCGCTACATTTTCTTTCATAAATCCCAAAGCTTGCATGGAAAGTTGCTTACGCAGTTTTCCAACCCCGTTTTGTGTGTAAGCAAGCTTGATAAATGAGGCCCCTGGACCTGATTCCATCTGTGGCTTTACGGACTGCCCCTCACCTTGTCAGCAGCTTCGACCGAGTGTTTGTGCAGATGTTTCTTCAGCAGACCTGGGCGGTTGAAGCTCTTGCTGCACAGCGAGCAGGAGTGGAGCTTCCGACCTGAGTGGAGCCGGACATGATCTCTGAAAGACGAAGGAGAGGAGAACTCCTTCGCACAGAGGGAGCAGGAATAAAGTTTCTGCTCCGCATGGCAGTGCTGGTGGTCGAAGAGCCCACTCCTGGAGGCGAAGCGTTTGGGGCAGAGTGAACAGGAGAATGGTTTCTCCCCAGTGTGGATCCGTTCATGTTGGACGAGGTATCGTCGCTGGACAAAGCCCCGCCCACACACGGAGCAAACAAAGGGCTTCTCTGGGGCGTGAACAAGAAGGTGCCGTCGTAGGCAGCCTCTCTGGGCGTAGCTGACCCCACAATCAGGGCAGGAGTACGGCTTCTCCCCCGTGTGAACCCTCTGGTGGATGTAGACATTGATCTTCTTTGTAAAGCGTTTGCCGCAGATGGAGCAGCTGTGCGGTTTGTAGCCAGAGTGTGAAGCCACGTGATCTGCCAAACGGGACGGGCCGGCAAACTCCCGGCCGCAGAGGGAACAGATGTGACGAACTTTTGATCGGCCGCGTATTACTGCAGGTTCTTGTGTTGCAGAGGGGCTCTGTGGGACCAGAATCAACCCGTCTCCTGCAGAAAAACATACCAACATGCAGATTTACATAGAAATACCTAAACATGGTCACAGTCCTAAGAAAACAGCGATATTCAGAACAGGGAGCTGTCACTCATCTCGAGCACCACCCCTCTCGCTATCTCACACACACACACACACACACACACACACACACACACACACACACACACACACACACACACACACACACACACACACACACCCTACTGACTCTTCCTGTTAAGGACGTTAATGTGACAGTAAACATCTGTATGACCCCTGACCTCTAGCAGGAAGCTGCTGAGCCTCCTCGCCTCCTTGTTCCGCTTCCACCTTCGCTCCACTCATCTCCTGAACAGACACGAGATTCTAATGTGGGAAAAATAAAACCCTCTGCAGATGGAAACAAAAACAGGCAGCAGGTTAGAGGCTCAAGTTCAGGCACCCCTGAGACCGAATTCAGCCAATCAGAGACGAACACAACAGGTGAAAGGATAAAAATTCAAACTGTTTACCGTTACCTTTACCGTTTATAAAACGACACGGTAAAAGCACCAACGTGGTTTATACCGACCTTTTACCGTGAGAGTCTGGTTAGCGCAAACGAACCGTTAGCTGAAGCTAACAGGCTCGGTTCGGGTCGCCACAGGATCCTTTAACACCTCAGTTTAAGAACCTAAAACATCCAATGAGATGTTTATATTGCCCCACCGTCTAGAACCGAATGGTTCTGTTGGTATCAAGAGATACAAACACGAGAAACCTAAAAATTAGCAGGTGAAGTTGATAAAGAATTAAACATGGCTGCTGCCTGTGCTCGGTGCTGCCGCTGCTGGCCGGAGGTTGTAACTACAACAGCTCTGCACCAAGACGTACGTACAGAATAAGAAGTGTACAGTGAAAACAGCCCTTTCATAAAGCAGGGGTTTTATGTGTTTATCACTGCTTATGTTTCATTAATTTAAAATTTGATTTAGTGTTTTAATTAGAGATGAGGATTGTTTCTGATCCTCACCCTCTTCATCTTCCTTATGCCGAGTCAATAAATCAAGTTTTTGTATTACTGTAGGTCTTGGTGATGTGGCCTCAAATCAAATCACAATATATCGAGCAATTCACCTTGATATCAGTAACTGCACAATAACTACCCATCATCTGTTTCACTACTTATTCATCTTCCATTTCCTCACCGTTTTCCCTTCTTGTTTCAGACCAGACAGGGTGGAGTCATGTGACTCCGCAGCACAGCATCTTAAAGCAACTAGAACATCAGCAACCTACTGAGATCTTTTCTTTTTCTGCCCTAACATATCAACATGGGCAAAATAGCGTATCAGACATAAAATTTGGTATCTGTATATTTTTGGTATCACTCATCTCTAGATGAAGGCATAAACAAGTAAATAAGTTTCAAACCTTCCAATTTAATTTTATGATACTATTAGATGTTTTATTTTTATCTTTATTTGTTGTTTATTGTAGGACTCATGAAATGTGAATCGGGAGCACAGTCATATCATAGTTTATTCTGTAATATCCACACACACCCCCTCAAGTGTCCACCTCCATCACTGTTTCTTCTTTACCACATGAGCACAGTCATATTTGCCTCTGACCACTTTGAGTTTGACTCCAGGGAGGTCTTGTGTCCTCCCACCCTCAACCAGAACCACATTGTGTTCCTGCAGGTTGTGTCCCTCCCCAGGGATGAACGCCACTGCCTCCTTTCCGTTAGACAACCGTACCCGAGCACATTTCCTGTTGGCTGAGTTGGGCTTCTTGGGTTTTCGGATCATCGTCTTTAAGACAACGGCTTTGAGCTGTGGGCAGCCGAACGTGGGTCCCAGTGTCTTAGGGGGCTTTTTAGGCTTCCCCTGCCGGTGCATCTGGTTGAGGGTGGCCATTGTTCTGGAAAGGAGGGGGGCGGACCAGACGGAGGCCAGCTGGGATGCTACAGGAAAAAATAAAATTAAATTTATGTTTGAAGCTCCTGAGAATAAGATGGATGTATGAAGGTTGTTCAGATCAATCTGCCCAAATGCAATTCCTCGTGGCAAAAGAGACTGGACTCTAGATAACCATGGCAACAGAGGCTGGACTCCAGGTCACCACGATAACTGAGACAGACTCTAGATAATCCCACCTTGGGTCTGGTAAACTCACCTTTCACCAGTGCCGGCCTCAGACTCCAGATTGATGACATTTCTAAAACAAAGGAGCGATAATAGTTAAAGGTGATTTTTACCGTGTTTCGTTTTTTTCCAGAATGACAGAGTTTCATCCTCCAGCAGATGGAGCTCATATTTGGTGGTTGCGTCACAGATGTGTGTTTGTTTTGTAACTAAAAGCAGCCCCTCAGGGATTCGGGCAGAGACAGGTGTTACACCAAATCAGTGACGTCACGCGTATGTGATCTGTGCGAGTTTGCAGGATAAACTTGTCCTGACGGGCAGTTGACCAGCAGAGCATTAGAACAAAGTCTAGTTAAACTTCGTTCGAGTCAAATAAAACTCCTTCACTCTGGCTGAACGTCAAACTATTGACAGACTAACCCAAACCCACGTTGGCTTTGTTAGGAAAAACTTCCAGATGTTTCATTCAGGCGTGCATGCTAACATCCGCTAGCTTCCTGCACACATCTCTGAGGTAATGTATCTGTTTTAAACCTACAAACCTTCTCAGCGTCCAGATGAATAGATCACCTCCACCGTCAGAATGTCCAAAGTAGTCCAGAAACAAAGACCCAGGGCTATAATTCAAAGATCATTAAAACGGTTTGTCCGAAGAAAAAAATGAAGGACTTCACCTTATTTTAGCACGAACCACAAACCGGATATACTTAGCGATCCAAAAAATGCTTCCGGGTTTACTCTACAAAATAAAAGACAAACACAAAATAATACTTAAATATTTTTGTGAAGCACATCGTGATTTTTATCTTGAGAGGCGCTATCAAACATCGTTTTCTTTTTTCATGGTCACTGTAAAAACAAACCATCTTTGAGTTTAAAAGAATCTTTGTACAGTCACTGCTAGGGACCAAATCTCAGAGAAACCTGGCCTGGCAATTAAGGCATCCTAAATATGAGCAAAATGCTTCAGCTACTGTTTGTCCAGATATCTAGATTTCCCAACATCCTGCAATCCAAAACAGGATCAAACTAGTCCACAAACCAGACAATTTGAACATTGTGCAAAAGTTTATTTATTTCAGTAAAAGTAAGTAAGTAAAAGTTTATTTATATAGCGCCTTTCACAGATATAAATCACAAAGCTCTGTACAACATGATAAAGATCAGGGCAAATACCTCTAACCAATAAAAACATCAGAAAAACAATAGCAGTGATAAAATAGAAAATAAAATCATGAGTATGAACAAAGTGAAGGTGTGAACCCAAACAAAGCCATCTTTTTGAACATTTAGGGAGGGAACGCCTGGATGAAAAGGTGAGTTTTTAGATGATTTTTAAAGACCTCTACAGTGTAAGAGAGACGGAGATTTAAAGGTAGACTGTTCCAAAGTCTGGGTGCAATAGTCTGAAAGGCCCTGTCCCCTTTGGTTTTCAGTCTGGTTCGAGGAACAGCCAGGAGGTTTTCAGCAAAAGGATCCAAACCAAGGCGTGATACTTCTTCAGAAGTCTGACATATTTTTCTTTAAAACCTTTTTGCTTATTTCATTCTAATTGTTTGAGATTGTGAATATGGAGTTTTCATAAGCAATAAGCTTTGAGCCATAATCATTACAATTATAACAAATTATAATTAGTCTATCTCATCGGCTATACTGGTTTCATCTTAGTGGAATAACTGAAATTAATGAAATTTTTGCATAATATTCTAATTTTTGGAGTTTCACCCGTAGATGCAACATGCTTGGAAATATTAGTCTGATCTGAGGTTAGAAATTAAAGTGCAATAGCAAATTTGTAAAACAAAATAGCCAAAAACAAAAATTTCATGCCTTGATTCAGATGACCTTCAAAGCTCAGTCCCACACTCAGGGCCGTTTCAAGACAATTGGGGGTTAGGGGTCCTTACCATCATAATCTGGCCCTGCAAAACACTACTGGTGTGAGAGATTCTCTGCTCAAAAATATCAGAGAAAGAGAAACAGTCGGCTGCTACCACTTCAACTTTAGGACTAACTACCAAAGTCCCAAAAAGAAAAACACCACCTGAAGTCGCAGACAACAAAAGACGTTTGGACGTAGAAAAGGGTAACTGGTGTTTAGTACCCTCTGGTTTCCTGTGGCAATGAGGGATTACACTTCCAGTGGACGCAGATCCAGAGGAGATACATGACCGTGATCATGTTTATGTTCCAAATCTAACTGAAGGTTTGCATATTTCCTGCTGCAGCTTTAAAGAACTGAATGCTTGTGCTTCCATCCAGTTGACCTAAATAATACATATAAATCCGTTATAGAGTATGTGACCATCAATCAAATCAAATGACAGCTTACACGAAATTAAATTAAAAGTTTATTTAAGTAAAGAACAAACTGTTAAAAAAATAACCACAGTTATTAAGTTTCTAGTTATTTTTGTTGCATTTGGTTTCTATTTACTTTATGCTTTTTGCCAATGGAAGGTGTTAAACATCCCCTTCTTACTCACATGAGGTCAACGTAAAACAAAACTTGTACTGCAGTTAGTGGATTGTGGACAGTAATGTGACGCAATGTGTGGCTTGGATAGATGAGCTTTTTTTTCCAGCAGGAGGAACTGGGGACGTAGTGACAGTTGGCAGCCCCATTAAGCACAGTTATTTTCTGGTTATCACACATGAACTCTCCCAGGTGTTTAAGGATTCCAGATTAGGGATGTCTACATGAACATTTGTTAGTGTGGTGATGCTACCATCTGCAGGTTACCATTACAAACTTTGGATCAGTGCAGGGGGAATAGATGGACTCCAAAAGCAAACAAAAGCTGTAATAAATGTCGACTTTCTAATAATGAAGCTGGTCTTTCATTCTGTAGGAAGGATGGCTCTGATGCAAACAGCAGCGTTACAACCAGTTCTTGTAAAACAGGAACTAATTTGTGTTCACTTTAATGACCGTTATCAGCATGTCATCATGGAGTTTCTCACATGCTGCTGGCTCCAGGGGTAGAGATGGTGCTTAGGGTGCACCCAGGTTGGCATGGAGGCCCATCTTTCTCCAGTCATGGTTGACAGATTGTTGGTGGTCTTCCTTGTCCTCTGTAGGTTCCAATGGACAGATCAGTACTATAGGTACAGTGGGGCAAAAAAGTATTTAGTCAGCCACCGATTGTGCAAGTTCTCCCACTTAAAATGATGACAGAGGTCAGTAATTTTCATCATAGGTACACTTCAACTGTGAGAGACAGAATGTGAAAAAAATCCATGAATTCACATGGCAGGATTTTTAAAGAATTTATTTGTAAATCAGGGTGGAAAATAAGTATTTGGTCAATAACAAAAATTCTACTCAATACTTTGTAACATAACGTTTGTTGGCAATAACAGAGGTCAAACGATTACTATAGGTCTTTACCAGGTTTGCACACACAGTAGCTGGTATTTTGGCCCATTCCTCCATGCAGATCTTCTCGAGAGCAGTGATGTTTTGGGGCTGTCGCCAAGCAACACAGACTTTCAACTCCCTCCACAGATTTTCTATGGGGTTGAGATCTGGAGACTGGCTAGGCCACTCCAGGACTTTCAAATGCTTCTTACGGAGCCACTCCTTTGTTGCCCGGGTGGTGTGTTTGGGATCATTGTCGTGTTGGAAGACCCAGCGACGTTTCTTCTTCAAACCTCTCACTGATGGAAGGAGGTTTTGGCTCAGAATCTCACGATACATGGCCCCATTCATTCTGTCCTTAACACGGATCAGTCGTCCTGTCCCCTTAGCAGAAAAACAGCCCCAAAGCATGATGTTCCCACCCCCATGCTTCACAGTAGGTATGGTGTTCTTGGGATGCAACTCAGTATTCTTCTTCCTCCAAACACGATGAGTTGAGTTTATACCAAAAAGTTCTACTTTGGTTTCATCTGACCACATGACATTCTCCCAATCCTCTGCTGTATCATCCATGTGCTCTCTGGCAAACTTCAGACGGGCCTGGACATGCACTGGCTTCAGGAGCGGAACACGTCTGGCACTGCAGGATTTGATTCCCTGCCATTGTAGTGTGTTACTGATGGTGACCTTTGTTACTGTGGTCCCAGCTCTCTGCATGTCATTCACCAGGTCCCCCCATGTGGTTCTGGGATTCTTGCTCACCGTTCTCATGATCATTTTGACCCCACGGGATGAGATCTTGTGTGGAGCCCCAGATCAAGGGAGATTATCAGTGGTCTTGTATGTCTTCCATTTTCTGATAATTGCTCCCAGAGTTGATTTTTTCACACCAAGCTGCTTGCCTATTGTAGATTCACTCTTCCCAGTCTGGTGCAGGTCTACAATTCTTTTCCTGGTGTCCTTCGAAAGCTCTTTGGTCTTGGCCATAGTGGAGTTTGGAGTCTGACTGTTTGAGGCTGTGGACAGGTGTCTTTTATACAGATAATTTGTTCAAACAGGTGCCATTAATACAGGTAACGAGTGGAGGACAGAAAAGCTTCTTAAAGAAGACGTTACAGGTCTGTGAGAGCCAGAGATTTTCCTTGTTTGAAGTGACCAAATACTTATTTTCCACCCTGATTTACAAATAAATTCTTTAAAAATCCTGCCATGTGAATTAATGGATTTTTTTCACACTCTGTCTCTCACAGTTGAAGTGTACCTATGATGAAAATTACTGACCTCTGTCATCATTTTAAGTGGGAGAACTTGCACAATTCGTGGCTGACTACCTTTTTGCCCCACTGTAGTTATCACGTGTGTTTAATAAAAAATAAATATTAGCTGATCAATGAGAAACCATTTGATCACAAGCTGTAAAGAGCACACTAACAGCTTTACTTTCCTGACGAGAGACAACTTAAGAGTAGCTATCAACGTGCAGCTGATCAGTGAAATATGTCCTGATAACAGCTGTTGGCTCAAGGTCTCGTTCTTCATCAGCAGATCTCTATCAGAGAACTGCAGCTACAGATTAACTAGATTTACCTAAGTAGGTGAGACCTGGCCAGTCTGCAGGCAGTCAGAGTTAAGGTTAAGATGAGGCTACAGCTCTTCCTCGTACTAGTGGTGCTGACCTGTGTACTCAGCAAGCCACTGAAGAAAAATGAAGAGCAGAAGAAGCTTCTGCTGGTGTCTTTCGACGGCTTCAGGTGGGACTACGACCAGGATGTGGACACACCTCACCTGGACCAGCTGGTTGTGGATGGGGTCAAGGCTAAATACATCACCCCCCCAATGCTCACCATGACCTCTCCATCTCATTTCACCACCATCACTGGTAAACTCTCTCTCTGATGGATCTTATACATTTTTGAGGTGTTTATAGAGATAGAGACCAACATTAGCCTGGCAAGCCAGACTAAATAAAGCAAGAATTTGGTCTAGTTCACTAGGCTAGACCAACATGGAACCACAAAGGGATGCTAAATGTGGTGAGGTCTAACTTCACCTTCCTGACCTGAGTCATAATGTTGGATGCTACTGTATGTTAGGTAGATGGGTGGAGGACCATGAAGTTGTCCACAACATGATGTTCAACGTGACGACGAACCAGAAACTTCCTCACAAAGAAACCATGAAGAGATCAGAGTGGTGGGACAATGGAGTCCTGCCGTTATGGATCACAGCGCAGAACCAGGTGAGTAACCAGGTGTCAGTTATCGGCATCACCGAACTAAAAATACCTGAGCCTAGTATTACCAGACCTACGGTTGAGACAAACTTCATAGTTACAACAGAAGAAATGCTCTGATGTCAAACATAGCTGATCTTGTTTTAGGGTTTGAAAACTGCTTCGTTTCATTACCCGGGAGGCGGAGCCACCTACAGAGGTCAAGCGGTCAACAGAGTCCTAGTTGAGGAACACGGTTTCCCAGATGATAACGAGACAGAGTGGCGTCTGAATATCGATATGGTGATGAGCTGGTTCTCTGAGGAGGATTTCCACCTGGTGACGCTGTACTACGGTGAACCTGACAATGTCGGCCATGCCAAGGGTCCAGATCATCCAGACAGGATAAAGATCATCCAGCAGATTGACCGAACCATCGGTTACCTGAGAGAGGCCATCGAGTACCACAACCTGACAGACAGCCTAAACGTCATCATCACCTCTGACCACGGCATGACCACCATCAAGAAGCGACCTCAGGTAGACGAGATCATCCTCAACAAGTACCTGAATCTACTCAAACTGGCCAGCTTTGAGATCCTGGACTATGGAGGGTTTGGAATCTTGACCCCAAGGACAGGTAAAGAACAGGAGGTCATCGACGCTTTGTCCAAAGCACCAAACCTAACGGTCTATAGGAAGGATGAGATTCCTGAGAGCTTTCATCTTGGTAAAAGTAAGCGGCTGCCTCCTGTCGTGGTCATGGCGGATCTGGGCTTTAACCTGAACTCTGTAAGTTCCACCTTAAATCCTAAAATCAGATCAGTGATTTGGTTTTCATGTATTCATCATCTTGGTGGTTGGATGAGAGAGACATCAGTGTTCCAACCATTTGCATCATCCCAATGAGGCTTCCTGTAAAAGGGGATCGATCAGGGGTCAGATTAGTCAGCTCCTTTATCAGCTTGTGTACGCGTCTTATCGACTTCTTCTCACGTGGACGTTAAGGAATCATTTACAGCCCACTTCTTAATCATCTGTCCTGATTTATGTGGGTCCACCAGGTCTCACCACCTTGACCTACTCTGTGTAACCCAGAAGTTCTGGTTGGGTGGACCGCTTTAAGAAAAAAAAATACACCAAATCTAAATAATCTAATTTAAAAAGCAGCAGCAAAAACACAACAAATGAAGAAGATGGAGAGACCAACCACAAGGAGAAGAAGGAACAAGGACAACAGAGTTCAGTCTGGGTCCTTGATGGTTATTATCCTGCATCTGGACCAGTGGGTCTGATCAGATAACTCTCCCAAAGGAGCAGAAACATCTAGCACATGCAAGTAAGACTCTAGTTTTGGGATGTTTGGCCCAATTAAGTGTTCAGCAGAAGCTTTGGTTGTTAGCCAGCTGGTATGAAGTCAGAACAAGATCAGTGATGGGACAGGCTCACAACTGAACTGCTGGGAGATTTAAGAAACAGATCCTTGTTAAAAACACCAAAACCAGTACAGCGGCTCTCTTGTTATTGCTGCACCACCACACAGCCAGAGTGGAGTTCAGTAAGATGTTCATGTCGTTAAAGGCAGAGAATAATAATAAAATTTACTTTATTTATATAGCGCACTGAGACAAAAATACATGAACAAAATCCTGGTGTTGGAACATCACACCATAGGACCAGATCCCAGGACTGGAAATCTTTCAGGTAGTCTGGTGAACTCCTGATCAAGTCTGGCTGCGGAGGAGGAAAATGGGAAGAGATGAGGACTGAACCAGGAGAGAAGGGTCCTCTCTCTGTGAGAGATCAGAAGGTCAGGGTGTTTGAAATCTAACCTGGTCTGGATAAGATGATTATCTACGTACATCGCCATCAGATGTTTGCATGTTGCGTTTGTGTAACCTTTAACCCAAATTCTCCTCTCGGATTATTCAGAGACTGATCGTCTATGTCAACAAAGGAGATCACGGCTTCCATAATGGGGAAATGGACATGAAGACCATCTTCAGGGCTTTCGGCCCAAGCTTCAAGAGGAACTTTGTTTCTGAGCCCTTCGACAGCATCCACATCTACCCTCTCATGTGCAAACTACTTCAGGTGGAGCCAGCACCACACAACGGGTCGCTGGCGGTAACAGAGGACATGCTGTGGTCCAGAGGTGAGTCTGCTCTGGGTTTAGATCTTCCTTCAGGTCTAAGCTAAAAGTAAACCTCATCAGCACAGAAAGGGAGGAAGTCAGTGTCAGATTAACCCTGAGCTGTAAACCCTCCCGTTTGTCTTCAGGAGAATCAGCTGGAGTCTCCATCACCCTGCTGCTGCTGCTCTCCATGCTCTCTGTCTCCTAACTGATCCAGGATCAGCAGGAACATCCGGCTAGAACCTACATCGGACCTGCTGCTGTATGAACTTGTTGACCTCTAAATAAACCTGGACTCTGGGCATTTCAGCCACTTATTCTTTTCTCTGTAAACTTTGTTATGTTGATTTTGTGGCAACTGGACCGACCTGTGACATGGACTCCTTCACAGGAAGTGGGACATCTCCGGGAAGTCCAGCAGCTCCAGGCCAGTCAGAAAGAAAAGTGTTCGGTGATGAATTTAGTGACCGGGGGTCTCATTTATCAAACATTGCGTAGAATCCTTACTAAAACCGTACTCAAGCTCAGCAAAAAAAAAGTACTTACGCCAAGTAGGTTTGTGATCTATCAAACATGGAGTACGCACAGCTGCACGCAATCTCCGCTTCATAAATCAGAGACTAACGAGAGTTTCTCAGCTGCATTTTAGTCACATCCTGCCCTCACCACGCCCACTTACTGCCATAAATGGTCAATGCAAAGTGCCTTGTGGATCTCATGCATATACATAAACCGGCTGTTGCAGCACTCCGCCAATGACGATGGCGACCGTAGATCAAGGCAGATCAAGGAAGCGCAATTTCACAGAAGCAGAAATTGAGGTACTTGTGGGTGAGGTGGAGAAATGAAAGGAAGTGCTTTTGCAAAACAAATAAGAGAAAATCCACGGTGTGGCACAGTGTTGCTGAAGCCGTCAATGTTGTGAATTCTTCAGAGAGATCTGTGGCGGATATAAAAAAAAAGGTCCAATCGGGATTTGATCCCCAGACTCCCAGGTGAAAGTCACGCGTGCTAACCAGTCAGCCAACCGGAGATCTCCCTCGCCCAAGTAGTCAGGGCGCATGATCAATCGGGTCACAGTGACAGGACACACACCGTCACAGACGCATGACATTCTGTCTCAATCTGTCCCCCTGCTGATATTCTGCATTCCGTATTCTGCGCTTAAGGCTGTGTGTGTGTGTGGTCTTGTTCTGTGTGAAAACGAAGCAGTACAAGTGTTAATGCTGCAGGATTTTAGCCTGGCAAGCCAGACTAAATAAATGTATTATTTAGTCTGGCCACGCTCCATTGACGGCTCTCGGTTGTGGGGCGGGTTCTACCGTTGTCTTTCAAATGATCTCCGCATTCCACTGGACAAAGAATGTGACATACTCTTGTTTCACTCTGTTGCATCATCCCACCCACCAGGCATATAGAGTGCCCTGATTGGCCCAAAAAGCAGATAAAGCTCTGTGATTTGTTCACTAAGCAGATAGAGCACTATGATTGGCCCGCCATTATGGACCAATCACAGCTCTTTATGTGTTTGAAACCCCTCTAGAGAGCTGTGATTGGCTAGCCAGAGTCCTGGTAGGAGCTGCTAGGTTCCAATGGAGCGTGCCTAGACCATTCTTTGCAAAGCAAGAATTTGGTCTAGTTCACTAGGCTAGCAGGATTTCATAATTGTATCCTTCTCAGCAGCAACACTGCAGGTGCTCTCCATGTCCAAAATGTGCGTAAGCAAGGTCCTTAGTCACCCTAAAGTTATGCACATTTTTCCACTACATTTCCTTAGCCCCAGGGGCCTCATTTATCAAGCTTGTTTATGCACAAAACAGGGTTGGAAAACTGCGTAAGCAACTTTCCATACAAACTTTGGGATTTATGAAAGAAAACTTAGAGGAAAAATGTGCGCAACATTGACTAAGGACCTTGCTTAGGCACATTTTGGACATGGAGAGCACCTGCAGTGCTGCTGCTGAGAAGGATACAATTATGAAATCCTGCAGCATTATCACTTGCACTGCTTCGTTTTCACACAGAACAAGACCCCCCACATGCGCACACGCACACACACACAGCCTGACGCGCAGAATATGGAATGCAGAATATCAGCAGGGGGACAGATTGAGACAGAATGTCATGCGTCTGTGACATTGTGTGTCCGGTCACTGTGGCCCAATTGATCATGCGCCCTGGCTACTTGGACGAGGGAGATCTCCGGTTGGCTGACTGGTTAGCACACGTGACTTTCAGCCGGGATGCCTTATCTGATCTTTTTTTATATATCCGCCACAGATCTCTCTGATGAACTCACAACATTGACGGCTTCAGCAACGCTGTGCCACTCCGTGGATTTTCTCTTATTTGTTTTGCAAAAGCACTTCCTTTCATTTCTCCAACTCACCCACAGGTACCTCAATTTCTGCTTCTGTGAAATTGTGCTTCCTTGATCTGCCTTGATCTACGGTCGCCATCGTCATTGGCGGAGTGCTGCAACAGCCAGCTTATGTATATGCTTGAGATCCACAAGGCACTTTGCATTGACCATTTATGGCAGTAAGTGGGCGTGGTGAGGGCGGGATGTGACTATAAAGCAGCCGAGAACATTTGTAGAGTTTCTGATTTATGAAGCGGAGATTGCGTGCAGCTGTGCATACTCCATGTTTGATAGATCAAAAACCTACTTGGCATAAGTACATTTTTTTTGCTGAGCTTAAGTACGGTTTTAGTAAGAATTCTACGCAATGTTTGAAAAATGAGCCCCCAGCTCCTGAAGAATCCGAACACTTTAAGATGGTCTCGGGTTTACCCGGTGCAGGTATCAGTGCACCCCCGTCTCTCACCTCAGCTGTGTTTAAATACAGATTCTGGTTGATGTTAAATTTAATAAGTGATGAGTACACAAGAGCAGCTGCAACAAACAAAGAACATATCAGAACTAAAAGTTAAATAAAATACAACATGTAAACTACAAATGCAAAGACCAGATTCCTCATTAAAAAGATGGCAAATTTTAAAATAATCATGAAAAAAAAATCAAACCTCATTCTTCATTTATTAAAAGGATTTTACTCCAATTGAGACAATTTCATGTTTAATTTCACCTCAGATGTTCTAAGATGACAGGAGAATCCACAAAGGAAACCCGAAACCTCAGAAGGTTTTGGTTTTTCAAATTATTTGAAATTTATTTTATATTTTGTGTGTGTGTGTGTGTGTGTGTGTGTGTGTGTGGGGGGGGGGGGGGGGGGGGGGGGGGGGGGGTCTGTGTCAATTTTCCCCAAACAAGTACTTTCTGTAAAAAAACAAGAAAACAGTTTTATCCTGAATCAAGCGGACCTGAAGAGACAAAGACCTGGAGACTAGAGGGATGTCTTTTGGACTTAGAGGATGGGTTGACCTGATCCAGGTGTTCTGAGGCAAGTCCTCTAACGTTCCCCACTCTGCAGCTGTTGATAGAGAACTCTTTAAAGATGACGGGCCTCACAGCTGAGGAGCTTCAGCTCCTGTTGTCATGGAAACATCAGTTTCCTCTAAACATTTGGTAAATAAATATGTAAAATAATTCATTAAAACCTAAATGGGTTTTAGAGAGCCACAGGGAGCTCTGACAGCTACACAGACATATGGAAAACCAATGGAGTCACAATTGGTGTTCAAACACTGACACCGTCAATGTTCTCTCCACCAATCAGATCAAAGATCTGTCATCCAACCAGTAGACAACAATGACCCACCCACATTGGGACCCTTTGGCTTTCCATACAGCAGCACATCACTGCTGTGACCTCACAGCGATCTGATTTTATCGTCAATGAGTTCGACGAGAGGAACTCGCTCTGACCGTACACCGGAAAGTTTCACAGAAATGCCACCTGCTGAAGGGCAACGTGGTGAGGCACTAGTGATCTCTCTCTCTCTCACACACACACACACACACACACACACACACACACACACACACACACACACACACACACACACACACACACACACACACACACACACACACACACACACACACACACACACACACACACACACACACACACACACACACACACACACACACACACACACACACACACACGGTGGATTTAATCACACATTCAGTCCTGTGTGGGTCTGTCAGAGGTGAAAGGTCAAACTGAACGTGCTTCTGGAGAACATGAAGAATCATCCGTCTGCTATCGTCCAGAGCGCGGCGTGGACCGTCCAGGTAAAAGCCAAACGATCACCTGAGGAAGTCGTTTCCAGAGTTTCATCATAAAACGACGAGGAAACAAAACTTTCATCCGATCAGAGAAAACGGGGACAGAAGAGCAGCGCTGAGGTGAAAACTGATTGGTCCTCCTGTGGCATTTCACCTCTCAGGCAGTCAGAGGCTCCGCCCCCTTCTCCTCCGACTGCCTGTTGAAGGATCATAATGCCGTCTCAGAGTCGATAAATCTCTGGCTGTCCTCGTCCCCCATGTTGATCCGGACACATGGAAGTTTCTCCAAACTGGAAAAGAAAAATGGAGAAAAACCTCCTGGTTTTCACACCTCCATCAGAGACCCCGCCCCCAACCAGGTGCATTTACCTTTTACAGCGCTTCAGAACTTTGTTTCCTTCAGAGTTCTTAGAAACGGATTTCCAGATTCCACTTTTAGCCATCTCATCGGAGATGTTCACCTCTGACGGGTCCGAGCTGCGAGAGACAGACGGGTTACAACCTGCAGCAGAACTCCAGCAGAACCGTGGCCGTGTTCCGACCCAACTCACCGTCCTTTCATGGCTTTGTTGGGGAATTCGCGCTCATAAGGCTCCTCCTCCTCAGTCTCCTCCATCATCTGCTGAGCATCCTGAAGGGAAACAAACGGATCGGGTCAGGAAACAGAACCAGCCGTACGGTTTCATCGAGCCGCTTCTCCTCCTCACCTGCTCTTTCTTCTTCTTGTCGTCGTCTCTCTTCTTCTTGCTCTCTGGTATCAGGTCGTCCAGCCAGCTCAGCTCTCTCTTGCTGTAACAGAAATCCAGAAGCTTCCGAACAAAAACCAGAGCCAGAACCTGCAGAATGGACCAGTTCAGAGGTGAGTTATAGAGCCAGTTCCTCAGAAGGTGCCACTGCTCTCACCATCATGGGGAAGATGACGGCAGCAGACGTCAGCTTGATGACCAGGAGGAGAATGAGACAGGACAGCTGGACCACGGTGAAAACGTGGACCTTCCACAGCGGGACATAGCGCAGGTAGATCAGGTCCGGTTGGTGTTTGGACGGCATCCCGAATAGTTTGATCCGGTCAAACAGCTGGTAGACAAATGGTAGATGGAGTGTAAGAACGCTCTGGTCAGGTTCTGAGAAACAGGTTCTAGTTCTGTAGAGCTCTAAACCAAGGTCAACCGGGTCGACTCAAAACCCCTCAGACCCAAAAGGGTCGGCTCAGAAAAAGTGACAGAAATAACTTAAAAGTTTTAAAAAGACGGAATCAAAAAGATTTTACTTAAAAAAATAAACATTTAGTCAACTTCATGCTTCATTATTGTTTCCATATTTGAGCCACACACACACACACACACACACACACACACACACACACACACACACACACACACACACACACACACACACACACACACACACACACACACACACACACACACACACACACACACACACACACACACACACACACACACACACACCTGGATGCCTTTGAGCGAGGACACGCCCATATACAGGAAGACTCCATACAGGACAGGCATTGGGATGAACTGAAGAAAAACAGGAAGTACATTATTTATCTTACTTTTTTTCAAAGTAAAAGTCTTTGGTAGACATTTACCTTGAGGGCAGAGGTCATGAAGACAGAGCAGCCCATCAGGATGAAGATCATGAAACCCGTGACTCTCTGCTCCCTGATGCCCAGGAATCTGGGCTGCTCGCCAGGTGCGGCACAGCCCGACTCCACCTTCAGACTGTTGACGTGAGAGATGGAGAGCACCGTCGCCGCAACGAACCAGGGCAGGCCCATGATGGAGCACACACCCAGCATCACGGACACCACCAGCAGGTCCAGGTGATAACCACAACCTTTCTGCAGCCGGACACGCAGGGAGGTGAAAACCAGCAGAGGTCAGCGGTCAGCCTGTAACTGATGAGTCTGCACCCACCTTCAGCTTGTTCTCCTTCCTGTTGATGATGATGGCGGTGATCTGCTGGTCCATGAAGATCAGGATGGTGCAGAGCAGAGCGGGGATGGCGGCAACCAGCAGAGTCCACCAGGGGTTGGTTCCGAGGGGGGAGATGAGCCAGCCGCGGTGTTTGGATGTGGGCTGGAGGGATAAACACAGATCACAACCGGCCTCAATCATCTCATCACTGCTAAGCGCCATTCATGCTAGCAGTAACAGGCCCTCCAACTGGATCCTTTTACTTTTACATCAGACATAAATCTGTGTAGTTTGTCAGTTATTGTCCTCAGAACCAGAATCTCCAAATGTAATGTAAAATTAATAAATACATGAAGAACAAGGACAGAACAGTCTCATCCAAACACACAGCAGGAAGGTTTTACCTCAAATCGGTCGGGAACGCTGAGTTTAGGAGAAGGAACGCCCACCAGATAATCCAGCAGCACCATGATCATGATGGTCAGGAAGACGGCAAAGTCGCTGATAGCCGATCGCACCTGCAGATCAAAACACCTTCAGCAAGAGGAAATGCTGTTTCACACACACACACACACACACACACACACACACACACACACACACACACACACACACACACACACACACACACACACACACACACACACACACACACACACACACACACACACACACACACACACACACACACACACACACACACACACACACACACACACACACACACACACACACACACACACACACACACACACACTATTTTAATTGCTTGTTGACTTAAAAACTACAGCATAACTCACATTTCTTGGTTGTCTTAAAACACAGAAAATAAATAGTTTTTTTTACCTTGTTTGCCAACGTTTCAGCTACTTCCCGTAGCAATCCTCAGAGCTGTGGCGTCCCTTCCTTCTCTGTTTATTAGCGAGCAGCAGAGGATGATGTGGCCCTCTGATGCTCGTGCCCTCCTCGTCGTCGACACAGGCCCGTGCGTGATCTAACATGCAGACCCCATCGTCCCTCTTTGATGTTCCATTGTTCGTGTGTTGAGTGGGCGTCCGGTTTGCTGGGACTTTGTAAATGACTCCACATTTTTGTTCCTGCGGATATCTTGTGTTTTGGATGTACTATTTCATTGTTGTCAATATTTTTTCTGTTATGCATTTGATGTATGGAAGAGTCATCTCTGTTTTGGTTCTTGTTTTTCTGGATTTCTGTTCTTTGTTTTGGTTGTTCTTTCCTTTCTGCTGTTGTTTCCCTTTGCTCATTGCCCATGTAGACGAACAGAGACGATGGAGTCTAAACATTAGATCATGCATGGGACTGCATCATCAACGAGGAGGGCGCGGGCAGCACAGGTCATCATTGTCCTCTGTCGCTCACTGATAAACAGAGAAGGAAGTGACGCCACCAACAGCGTCACAGCTCTGAGGATGGTTACAGGAAGCAGCTGAAACTTTAGCAAAACAAGGTAAAGAACAACTCCTGTTAATACACAGCAGTGTGTATTATAATTAAACATTAAACAACTACCTATATATAAATAAATAATTGTCCCCAGCAGTTTAAGCCACACACACCTTTATGTACATCATCCCCACCAGTTTTAAAAACTGACGCCGCTGATCAGCTGTGATGTAATGAAACTGTGACCTGATTGGTCGGTTTGGAACAGCTGGACTCGTCTCACAGCACAAAGCACTAAGTTAAATAAACAACGACGTAAAATCGGTTTTAATCGGACTTCAGGGTTAGATTCAAAATCTCCAGATTGACAAAGACATGACATCACTTCCTGTCTCACACAATATTTTAGATTTCAGACATGTTGACCTTTGGTAACAGATTTTTAGTCACCAGCAGGTGGTGCTGACTGTAAGCGTCTTTGGTTTATAGAAACATCAGTCCTGGTTACCATGGAAACACCGACTGTTGGGTTCAGCTTTTTCCAGGTGTTTGACCACAGACCTGAACTTTAGCTGGATGAGACTTTTACTGGACAGCTCTTTGATTCAGACGTTAAACCAGGAGGAAACCAACCAGAATTCATTTACTTCTGATGAAAAACTGAACCAGAAACCTGTACTTTATTCCTGTTAGAGGACAGACGGACCTTTGTGGGGAAGTAGCTCTTAGTCTTGAACTTTTTAAGGAAGGAGGAGAGGAAGAAGGTGGTGAAGAAGAGAATGACGGACCAAAAGAGCACATCAGGGACGTAGGGACCGTGGTGGCTGCAGGCCGATCCGACAAACTTTCCGTTTAGATCCAGACATTCCTGCAGACAGAAAAGCAGACAGAGCTGCAGTTTCTCTGATGGCCTCTAGATGCTGCTGTGACTCAAACTGACAGGAAATAGAAGAAAAAAAATTTTCCGTCTCACATTCAGAAAAATTAACAGAAACTTTTTTCAGTTTGTTAATTTAAATCTTCTCCTAACCTCCGACCCAGTCTCAGGATCAGGTCTCCACAATTAAAACCTTGTACCTGATCCAGGTGAATTTAACCTGAAGATGCTTTTAGGTCCCCCCATAACAGTTTGATCAGCAGGTGGCGCTCTAGACTTCCTAACAAACAGAACAGGGGTCTCATTTATAAAACATTGCATAGAATCCTTAAAAAAACTGTACTTAAGCCAAGTAGGTTTGTGATCTATAAAACATGGAGTATGCACAGCTGCACGCAATCTCCGCTTCATAAATCAGAGACTAACTAGAAAGGTTCTCAGCTGTTTCTGAGTCACATCCCGCCCTCACCACGCCCACTTTCTGCCATAAATGGTCAATGCAAATTGCCTTGTGGATCTCATGCATAAATATAAGCCGGCTCGTTGCAGCGCTCCGCCATTAACGATGGCGACCGCAGGTCAAGGAAGCGCTATTTCACAAGCAGAAGTTGAGGTACTTGTGGGTGAGGTGGAGAAATGAAAAGAAGTGCTTTTGCAAAACAAATAAGAGAAAATCCACAGAGTGGCACAGCGTTGCTGAAGCCATCAATGCCGAGTTCTTCAGAGAGATCTGTGGCGGATATAAAAAATGGTCCCATCTGAAGGTGGAGGCAAAAAAAAAATAATAAAAAAAATGGATGTTTTTCCACCACCACGAGTGTGTCTGCCACTGGCGGAGGCCCTAGCACCTCTGATCCCCCACCGCTCGCCATTAGGAACTCAGCTGTACTCGGACTGGCAAGCGTGCATGGCATCGTGCCAGAGAAGGAGAGAGACACTGACCATGCAGAGGAGGCCAGTAACGTTTAAGCCTTTTATTGATGCAGATCAAATGTGTCCGTCATTAAAATATAAACAAAACCAAATCTCACTGCAGTACAAGTGATAACGCTGCTGGAATTCATAGTTGTATCCTTCTCAGGAGCAGCGCTGCAGGAGCTCTCCATGTCCAAAATGTGCCTAAGTAAGGTCCTTAGTCAGCTTAAAGTTGCACACCTTTTTCCACAATGTTTTCTTTTATAAATCCAAAAGTTTGCGTGGAAAGTTGCTTACGCAGTTTTCCGACCCCGTTTTGTGCGTAAGCAAGCTTCATAAATGAGGCCCCTGGTCTCTTGTCCTGAAACCTAAGCAACTTTCCTGGGTTCTGATGATGTTCTGGAAGGTGTTACTAGTGACGCTGGACCAGAACCATCAGGTGTCCTACCTTCACGCTCAGCAGCTCCCACTCCACGTTCTCAGATGTCACGTTTCTGCTCCTCCAGATCTCCTGGACCTCGAGGGAAGCATTGGCAGGTGGAGAACATTGACACCTGGAAAAGACTCAGAACTTCAGTCCAAACCTGCTTTCATTACAGACCAACACATCCTGGTCCTTCAGAATTGGACCAACTACCACAAGAAGTTTGTTTCGTTCATTTAAAATGAGAAAAATGAGCTTCAATTGTTTTAAGAGATTTAGCTAGACATAAATGTTCTGTAACCCAGCAGTTCTCCATATAATCTGCTGAACTTTGACCCTGACCCAATTCTGGTCCCACTAGCAGAGTGTTGGGGATGATTTGGAGGACTGGGGATGGTCTGCCTTACGTGTAAAAGGTCAGGTTGTCCAGCTCGTCGTGCATGTTGAAGGGGTAGACCTCCCCTAGGTGAACCAGCTTGGCCAGAGCCTCGTAGATGAAGATGATGCAGATGAGAGCGGCGAAGGCCTCTTCAGTGAAGCGGGTGATATAGCAGACCAGGGAGCTGGCATCAGTGGCTACCAGCAGCAGGCAGAGGAACGCCGTCCATAGTCCGATACTGGTCCTCAGGGACAGGTAGGAGAGCTGGTAGTCACTGAGGATGGAACCAAACGGGTCAGGACATTAAACGGAACATGTTCAGACTCTCTGTGAGGGCCAAACAGACTCAAAACCCAGAAAACAGAAAATAGATTCATATTCTGCTGGTTCTGGTTAAAAACTGAGGGTTAGGGTTTACCCAGCACATCTCCGTAGCAGGTTTATAAAATGGGCTGCATGGTGGCACAGTTGTTAGCACTGCTACCTTGCAGCAAGAAGGTTGCAGGTTCTAAACTCAGCTGCGGCCTTTCTGTACGGAGTTGCGTGTTCTCCCCATGCATGCGTGGGTTTCCTCCGGGTACTTCGGTTTCCCCCAGATCACAAGCCCTATAGGTTATAAATTGTACGTCGCTTTGGACAAAAGCGCCTGCCAAATAAATAAACATAAAATGTTCTCCATGTTTCTTACGGTGCCACATCAGGAATGAAAACAGGAAGTTCAAATAATATTTACAGGATTAACAAAAAGATATAAATAAAAAAAGAACCAGTTCCAATTAGGGTTGGGAATCGAGAACCGGTTCTTGTTGATAACCGGTTCCCATTGGTTCAATTCCTAGGAATCGTTCGCCACTTTTGCAAATGATTCCCCTTATCAACTTCAGTCGGCGCGAATAATGTCACCGCACACGTTGCGTAGCTTACGGAAAGCATCAAGGGAGGAAGCATTCAGAATATACAAAAGCCTTTAGGCACAAAATATGCTAAAACTTAAAGTTAGTGACGTGTTTTATTTGATGCAGTCCACTTTGAACTGCACCAATCCAGCAACTGCTACATTTTAATAACTATTAAAGGTGAATACACCAATATTTCAACAAGAATAATTTTTGTTTTAAACTCTCAGTGACACACTTTACAGGGTGGATTTGGCATTTAATTTTTCTTGGTGTCTGGAAAAACATCTCCTTCTGCCCCCTTTATTTTGGTCCAAGCTCATTACTGGGCTGGCCCTATTAAAAACATTCTACACCCCTGCTTAGCAGACTTAATGAAGTATTTTTAAGCCAGTATAAAATGACTGAAACACAAATTTACATATTTGGCATTATTGACCAATATCTTTGATTTAATTTATTTGTTAAGAACATCAAGATGTATTACAGTGAACATTATGATAAAGTAAAATTTTCTAGTGCAGAGAGGAGACAACCCATAGAAGCACTGATTTGATCTTATTTCAGAGAAAAATAGAACAGGTCAGATGCATCTAATAAATTAAATTACTAACATAAACTCAGGAATCTGTTTCTTTGCTTCACTGTTCTGGTGCTGAAAATATCACTAATGCAGATCAAAGGAGATACACAGATGAATGCACCTTATTTATTATTTGGAAAGTAGTGGGTGTGGTTTACATCAATACATTATTTTAAATCTGAAATTGATATGGATTGATCAGAAGTTGCTATGTTTATTGTTTATTTGAAAACTATTTACAGAGCAGCCTCAGAATTGAGATTAAATATTTCTGATCACAATAGTAAAGAAACTGTTACAGAACAAGTTTCTGTAAAATCAGAACATTAATATTTAATTGCATGAATTAATACATCTGAACTCATGCAGTAGGAACTAGGAAATATAAAACACTAGAAACATTTTATTTTAATTTGATTAAACTGATTTTTTCCTAATGTTGTTGGCATTTTTCCCACACACAGTTAAACAAACAATGTTGATTAAGGTTGTGTGTGTGTGTGTGTGTGTGTGTGTGTGTGTGTGTGTGTGTGTGTGTGTGTGTGTGTGTGTGTGTGTGTGTGTGTGAGAGAGAGAGAGAGAGAGAGAGAGAGGGAGAGAGAGTTAAAATAATAAAAAAAAAAAACCCCGACCAGAGCGGAGGCAGTGACCGATGCAGGCACGAGCCGTTTTCAGCTCTGTCTTTTCAAATGCACCACGTACGTTACGAAAAAAGTAACTTTTAAATAATGAACTGAAAAAGAGGCGAGCTGAAGAAAACGTAGGGAGTACTGAAGAAATGTGAGCAACAGTGAAGCAAGCACAGAGATCCGTTACTGTCTGTGTGTGTGCGTGGACGCCTGGGCCGAGCGGACTGAGCTCCTGGCTGCTGAGTTTTGTGTGTAGGGAGGGGCGGGCGCTCTATGTGACTGGCCAATCACAGAGCGTGAAGACAGTCAGTTACCCAATGAGGATTTTCCTTCAGCACGATTACAGATATTTATGAGTTTTACACTTGTTTCATGCTCGTATTCGTCAAAAATGCTTTATCCGTATGCTCATCCCTAGCTGTAACCACCCTAGCCTGCCTCCTCCTTGCTGCCTGCCGGCAGTGATCACAAGCAACAACAGAGTAGTTCCCGCTGCTTCTTCGGGAAACGGCGCAAAAAAGAATAAAAAAATAAAATAAAATCAATAAAACTTGGGATCTTGTAGGTGTGGCGCTGGGATTTCAGCCGTGGCGGGCTGCCACGGCTACGCCTATGTAAGGGAAACCCTGGGTGACATTCGCACGTCCTCTCCTGTTAACACTGTAGGTAACCTATCAACTAACACGGGTTTTCATGTTAGCGTCATTTATCTTATACACACACACAGACACACACACACACACACACACACACACACACTACAAATGCTACAGCAACACTGCACCAAAAACGAAGATGACTCTACCTTCACTGGGAGCATGAAGGAGAACATTTGGAAAGATATTTCCTACCAATACAGGTACAATTGATTATTTATCATAAAGAAACTGATAATGCAGGAGCCGTGCGCAGTTAGTTTTTTGCCACCTGTTTAATTACTCTGGAACTGATAAGGAATTGGATCGATAGACACAATTGACAATGCCATTGATATTGATAAAAACATATCAATTCCCACCTCTAGTTACAATAATAAATGCTTTTAAACGATAACCTAAATCTGGAGCTGAACACAATCTGGAAAAAACTTCCCAGAATTCAGCAGGAGTTTTACCAGAAATCAGGAATACTAAGCTAGTCGGACCCCTTCAGGTGTTTCTGATTGGGATGCTCCATCACGACAACCCTCCAAGAAACATCAAAACCCAACAGGACCCAGAGTTTGGCTCTGGAGATTTCAGCTCTTAATCAAACACACACAAACCATTTCCTGTGCTGGGTCAGTGATGCGTCACTTTCAGGTCAGAGTCTAACACCGGCGGCTGCCAGCAGGAGGTGCTGCAACATGGCAACATGAAGTCCGTAATCAGAAAGTCTAACCCAGTGGTACTTAATACACGGCCAGGTCTGGCCCACAAGCCCCCTCTTTGTGGCCTCCGGACCACCAGCACCGCCCCGCCATCAGACCAGACCTTTAAATACATGGGGACTCTAACAGCACCCCACCCACGGCCCTCAACATCACAGCAATGTTTAAATGTGGCCCTCGGCCACTGCTATTCGAGTAGCCCTGGTCTAACTTATACGGGCCCGGTTCTGACTGTAGAAACCCAACAGCAAGACTCTATTTTACCAGCTGAACATTGAAGTTCCTCAGACACAACAGTGTCTTCCAACCTCACCTGCAGAACTTGAAGAGGATCTTCTCAAACACCAGAACTGGACCGGTGCTGCCCAGGATGGTGAGAGGCTGACCCGCAAACAGAGAGTAGGCCACACCAGTCATGGACGCTCCAAACAGAGACTCAATGGCACTCTGAGAGCAAGCGAGAGAATGAGAATCAGAACAGACTCGCCACACTTCTCTTAGACCTCCTCTGAAGTTCAGTTCTGGAGCATTGACCTCTGACCTCAGGGTGAACCTATTGTCTGAATGTTTCCCACTGCAAGTGACTGATGTACAGCTACAGGTAAGTGTCTGAAGTCTTTGCTGATGTCTTTCCTCCTTGTGCCAACACACACCTATATGCTCCAGAGAACTGATAATGATCATGTAATCCATAAATCTGATCCTAAAGGCAGACTCAGTCCTTATTCGTTCTGGTTTTTATTTGTCATGTTTTTGTTGATCCAAGGTTGGTTTAAAACTCCAGATCAACATCTGGAAGACTGAAAGAGGGCGGACTTTCCCTTCTTTTTGCTTGTGTGCACAAATATAAAAATATGATTTAAAAGGATGTTTATAAAATGGAAAAGGTTAACGAAAAACAAATGGTCTCATATTTTATTTCCCTTCAGAGGCACTCTGATTCTTACGATGTTCCCTTTGGTGGCTTCTCCCAGCAGACCTCCAAATGTGATGACGGGTGACATGCAAGCACAGTACAAGAAGAGGATGGAGGCCAGACACTGAAGGCTCAGGGCATCTTTGATGTCGCTCCAATAAAACGGAGCTTTTCTCCGAACGTCGTTCACCAAACCTCCAAAGATCCTGTAGGAAGAACTTACATCACTGAACCAGCACGCTGTGTTGGCGTCAACAATGTGAACTTAACACACACCTGCCCGTTCTCTGCAGCTCTGGCCCTGTGTGATGCTCCGCCTCCTTCACAATGTCAGAGTTGTGGGCGGAGCCATTCAGGAGAGTTGGCATTTTTCTCTTCTCCTGCAGAGGGTAGATGGTCGTTGGTCTCGTGATTCACGGCCACCCGACAGATCCACGTCCGATGACGTCAGAGTGGCATTCTCACCTGAGAAGGAACGCTCTTTGGAGGTTCGATGCGGATGCTGGGATCCCATTCACCCGGAGGCAGAACGGTAACTTGATCCAGAAACTCATCGATCCCAGACAGCAGGTCGTTCCTGTCCTTAGCTTTGTACGCCACGTCATGGAAGACCTACGACAGAACCGAACCAGAACAGACAAAAATGAAACGTTAGCATTTAGCAGCGTTGAGGCCAGTTGGTTTCTTCATTCAGTCTGAAAGCAAACAAGTTCACAGGTCAAAGTCTGAGAAGCTCCAAATGGTTTTAAATCCAAACTAGAAAAACTAATTAGAGAAGCACCGAGAAGTTTACTGGTGATTGAAAATGGCCAACAATCAGACCCATCAGTCTGTGGACTCACTGCAACAGATCTTCAATAAGATCATTTTTCTTTTCCTCAAAATCCAAATACTCTAAATAAAGTCAGGAAGAACATAACCATTATTGTTAATTATATTTCTCTGAGATGAATAAAAATCAGCTAAATTCTTTTTTGGAGCTGTGGATCCTAAACCTCTAAACCTACCAGATACCCGGTCAAAGTTAGAAATCCAGAGTTCCCACTAAATAAAAAACAGACGGAGGTCTGCCGTGGTTTCCAACTCACCTCATCAGTCATCAGAGTGGCGATGGACCGGCCGATCTCGTGGTACTGGGGGCCTTTCCCAAACGGGCCGAGCATCAGAAAAAGAAACCTGGACAGAGGAGAGAGTTCTGTACTTCCTAATGTGATCTTGGTGTTTCAATGTTTAGAGACATGTTGGTGTATCTGGATCAGACCAAGACCCTAAACCACAGCAGGCTCTGGTCCGATCCTGATAGGACAGCGGTCATTACAGGGACCAAACCCTGGTCCAAATCAGGAAGCGACCACTTTTAGAAGTCCTGGTTAAAGACAAGAGTCCGACAGACTGGTAGAGACATGTCCAGAGGACGTGTTTGTGGATTTACCTAGTAGGAACCGGGACCTCTGTGAGTCCGGTCAGCAGCACAGCGGGGGACAGCCGAACAAAGGCAATGACCGGCTGTTCCAGGAAGTCCACTTCACCCACCAGGACATTTGAGGCTTCAGCACCGGGCGGGATCTTCTTCATGAAGTTCATGTCCACCTAACACGCACGCGCACACACACACACACACACACACACGCGCACACACACACACACGCACACGCACACACACACACACACACACACACACACACACACACACACACACACACACACACACACACACACACACACACACACACACACACACACACACACACACACACACACACACACACACACACACACACACACACACACACACACACACACACACACACACACACACACACACACACACACACACACACACACACACACACACACACACACACACACACACACACACACACACACACACACACACACACACACACACACACACACACACACACACACACACACACACACACACACACACACACACACACACACACACACACACACACACACACACACACACACACAGACCAGGAGGATTAACATTTTCTGCAGTTTTACTTCCTGTTTTTGTCTCAAGATGTTTAACAGAAAGTTTTTAATTGACGTTTCTGTCACAAAACATTTTCACTGGAACAACAGCTGAGCTGACGGTCACAGCCAATCACAGAGCAGCACCACGACGAGCCACAACACAGGCCTCTGATTGGATGACAGCTGCTGAAAGACTTACTGCAGGCTTCCTGCCAGCTGCCAGCAGCAAACACACACAGTCGCAGTCCTGCTGAGAGACAAACCCGTCATCCCAGACATAAACACAGCTTCTGATTGGCTCCTCCTGTCACATGACTGTAAACCTCCATCCCAAAAAGATGTTTCAGTTGAAAGAGTTTCTCCATCTAAACAGATGCATTTTCTCAGGGATAAAAAAGTAAACAGAGTCTAAATAAATGTTTTAAAATTGCACCAATGACCACCTGCGTCACATTATTGGTGCTAAAACACCCGTGACTGACGGAAATCTGACATTTTTTGTACTAACAATTTTTACTCTTCCCATGTTTTAATCTTTTATATCTTTTTTAATTTATTTATTTATTAGTATTTAACTTAATTTTTGTCCTCGTGAGGAGCCTTGTGATTTTGCTTGTAAAAGATTGTTTCTTCTTATTATTATTTTTGGAGGATTTGGCAGAGCGTGATCTCTGGAGGGAACTGATCAGATTCCTGAATGACGTCCTTCTGGAGCTATGCTGTGATTTGGGACACCTTGTGCAATGTCAGACAAGCAGATTCCAGTCCATTTTCTGTTTTACAACTACCAGAACCCCCAGAACCTCCCCCGCTCCCTGATCATACACGAGTTGTCAGACTGAATGACAGAGCAGAAGAAGCTGAACTCTCAAACAACATTTCCAAATAAAACTAACTCCAACCAGAACAACTCCTTCAATTAAAACGTAAAAGACAACCCATTATCTACGATTGATCCCTGACGGAGATCTTTCCTCTGTCCCGACCACGTTTAAAACCTCTGCAACTTGTTTGGGTCTTTTGCACTTTGACAGCCAGTGTCTCGATCTTGCCGTCAATAACGTTTGGGTTTGGGGGGGATTTCCTAACGTGCCGAGGACGTAGCATGACCAAATATGGTTAATTGAGGGTGTTTCTGTAAGTAAATGACTGAGAACAGACACGAGCACCTGGGTACGCACAGGTGGAACTTATCAGACGAGTGCGGAGGAACATGCGTATGAGTACCCACCACAGGTTACATAAATAGGGTTTTGACCATTCGTATGAACATTCTAAATTTTGTTCTTAGGAAGGATTATACGAAAATTTCTACAAACGTTTGATGAATGAGGCCCCAGGCGTTTGACCCTCAGGTTTAGTCCGGCACATTCAGACTGGATCAGCTGCTGTTCTCTGGTCTTTACCTTACTGAAGTCCACTGTGCTGTTCTCCCTGCTGCCACTGTTGATTCGACTCTCTAGGATTTTGTTCTCCAGGTTTCCAGGAGCTGATTGAGGCGTTGCCATCAGACCTGAAGAGATAAACATTCAGTCTGAAAGAGAGCTAAACTCTAAAAAATGAGTCAGATCATTTTAGAGTCATTATGGATGCATTTAGGGTCAAAATAAACCACTTTGTCAAATTTAAGGTTCGTTGATACAAAAACAGCTGTCAGTCATCCAGGACGTCAACGCTTGGACACAAAAACCAAGAACTCCACATATGAGCCCGCAGGTTAAAGGTCACGAGAAAAAAAATAACTGCAGCACAAACCGGTGCTACAGGGTTCCTTGCCCAACACTTCGGGGCAGCAGTAGTTCAGGGGGTTGAGCGGGTTGTCCAGTAAACGGAAGGTTGCAGGTTCGATCCTGGCTCTGGACAGAGAATTCTGCTGAATCGTCCTTGGGCAAGGCACCAAACCCATTTTGCTGGTAGGGGTCGGAGGAACTGGTGGCACCTGTGCTTGTAAGCCTCGCCTCAGTGTGCCCCAGGGTAGCTGTGGCTACATTGTAGCTTATCACCATCAGTGTGTGAATGTGTGTGTGTATGAATGGATGAATGATGCACTGTAGTGTAAAGCTCTTTCGAGTCCTCTGACTCTGAAAGTGTGGGTCGTTTATCATCATTTATAACAAGCTTCCAGGGTGAGGAGGTATTTAGCGGCAACAGTGTGTTTAAGGTAGAACGGACCAGAAACAAAACATGTTCAAGGAGCCAGTAAACGTTCAGCTGGTGATTGGGATTAGCTTTATATGTGCCCCTAAATGCATCATGGGCAAGCATCAATGAAAAATAAAATTATTTCTCTGTGAATGCCCCATCGCTCAGTGCTGCTGCTAGCGCACACCAGCTATAACCAGGTCTTCTGTGGAAGTTTTAACAGTCAAGTTAACCAGTAATAAAAAAAAGTTTCTTATCCCAGTGATTCGCTGCATCAGAGAAAATGATCAGCCCTCAAATCCAGAATTGGTGCAGTTCTACGCTTCATCCTCTCTAGTACAAAAAATTTGTAAAATTTGTGTTTAAATAAGAGTTCTGATCAATGACAAAAAAAAATCCTATTTAGTCTAATTCATTTAAATTTATCTGATGTATTACATTTGCCTAAATTTGGGGTTTAACCACTTAAGACTATGCAGATGCAGTATTAATTTACACAAATATACTATACTACGCAGATGTAGCATTAAACTGCGCAGATGTAGCATTAGACTACGCAGATGTAGCATTAAACTGCGCAGATGTAGCATTAGACTGCGCAGATTAGACTACGCAGATGTAGCATTAGACTACGCAGATTAGACTACGCAGATGTACCATTAGACTACACAGATTAGACTACGCAGATGTAGCATTAGACTACGCAGATTAGACTACGCAGATGTAGCATTAGACTACGCAGATTAGACTACGCAGATGTAGCATTAGACTACGCAGATTAGACTACGCAGATGTAGCATTAGACTACGCAGATTAGACTACGCAGATGTAGCATTAGACTACACAGATTAGACTACGCAGATTAGACTACGCAGATGTAGCATTAGACTACGCAGATTAGACTACGCAGATGTAGCATTAGACTACGCAGATTAGACTACGCAGATGTAGCATTAGACTACGCAGATTAGACTACGCAGGTGTAGCATTAGACTACGCAGATTAGACTACGCAGGTGTAGCATTAGACTACGCAGATTAGACTACACAGATGTAGCATTAGACTACGCAGATTAGACTACGCAGGTGTAGCATTAGACTACGCAGATGTAGCATTAGACTACGCAGATTAGACTACGCAGATGTAGCATTAGACTACGCAGATTAGACTACGCAGGTGTAGCATTAGACTACGCAGATTAGACTACGCAGATGTAGCATTAGACTACGCAGATTAGACTACGCAGATGTAGCATTAGACTGCGCAGATTAGACTACGCAGATGTAGCATTAGACTACGCAGATTAGACTACGCAGGTGTAGCATTAGACTACGCAGATTAGACTACGCAGATGTAGCATTAGACTACGCAGATTAGACTACGCAGATGTAGCATTAGACTGCGCAGATTAGACTACACAGATGTAGCATTAGACTAAGCAGATGTAGCATTAGACTACACAGATTAGACTACGCAGATTAGAATACGCAGATGTAGCATTAGACTACGCAGATGTAGCATTAGACTACGCAGATTAGACTACGCAGAAGTAGCATTAGACTACGCAGAAGTAGCATTAGACTACGCAGATTAGACTACACAGATGTAGCATTAGACTAAGCAGATGTAGCATTAGACTACACAGATTAGACTACGCAGATGTAGCATTAGACTATGCAGATTAGACTACGCAGATGTAGCATTAGACTATGCAGATTAGACTACGCAGATGTAGCATTAGACTACGCAGATTAGACTACGCAGATGTAGCATTAGACTACGCAGATTAGACTACGCAGATGTAGCATTAGACTACGCAGATTAGACTACGCAGGTGTAGCATTAGACTATGCAGATGTAGCATTAGACTACGCAGATTAGACTACGCAGATGTAGCATTAGACTACATAGATTAGACTACGCAGGTGTAGCATTAGACTACGCAGATTAGACTACGCAGATGTAGCATTAGACTACGCAGATTAGACTACGCAGATGTAGCATTAGACTACACAGATTAGACTACGCAGATTAGACTACGCAGATGTAGCATTAGACTACGCAGATTAGACTACGCAGATGTAGCATTAGACTACGCAGATTAGACTACGCAGATGTAGCATTAGACTACGCAGATTAGACTACGCAGGTGTAGCATTAGACTACGCAGATTAGACTACGCAGATGTAGCATTAGACTACGCAGATTAGACTACGCAGGTGTAGCATTAGACTACGCAGATTAGACTACGCAGATGTAGCATTAGACTACGCAGATTAGACTACGCAGATGTAGCATTAGACTACGCAGATTAGACTACGCAGGTGTAGCATTAGACTACGCAGATGTAGCATTAGACTACACAGATTAGACTACGCAGGTGTAGCATTAGACTATGCAGATGTAGCATTAGACTACGCAGATTAGACTACGCAGATGTAGCATTAGACTACATAGATTAGACTACGCAGGTGTAGCATTAGACTACGCAGATTAGACTACGCAGATGTAGCATTAGACTACGCAGATTAGACTACGCAGATGTAGCATTAGACTACGCAGATTAGACTATGCAGATTAGACTACGCAGATGTAGCATTAGACTACACAGATTAGACTACGCAGATTAGACTACGCAGATGTAGCATTAGACTACGCAGATTAGACTACGCAGATGTAGCATTAGACTACGCAGATTAGACTACGCAGATGTAGCATTAGACTACGCAGATTAGACTACGCAGGTGTAGCATTAGACTACGCAGATTAGACTACGCAGATGTAGCATTAGACTACGCAAATTAGACTACGCAGGTGTAGCATTAGACTACGCAGATTAGACTACGCAGATGTAGCATTAGACTACGCAGATTAGACTACGCAGATGTAGCATTAGACTACGCAGATTAGACTACGCAGGTGTAGCATTAGACTACGCAGATGTAGCATTAGACTACACAGATTAGACTACGCAGGTGTAGCATTAGACTACGCAGATTAGACTACGCAGATGTAGCATTAGACTACGCAGATTAGACTACGCAGATGTAGCATTAGACAGCACAGATTAGACTACGCAGATGTAGCATTAGACTACACAGATTAGAATACGCAGATTAGAATACGCAGATGTAGCATTAGACTACGCAGATTAGACTACGCAGATGTAGCATTAGACTACGCAGATTAGACTACACAGATGTAGCATTAGACTAAGCAGATGTAGCATTAGACTACACAGATTAGACTACGCAGATTAGAATACGCAGATGTAGCATTAGACTACGCAGATGAAGCATTAGACTACGCAGATTAGACTACGCATATGTAGCATTAGACTACGCAGATTAGACTACGCAGGTGTAGAATTAGACTACGCAGATTAGACTACGCAGATGTAGCATTAGACTACGCAGATTAGACTACGCAGATGTAGCATTAGACTACGCAGATTAGACTACGCAGGTGTAGCATTAGACTACGCAGATTAGACTACGCAGATGTAGCATTAGACTACGCAGATTAGACTACGCAGATGTAGCATTAGACTACGCAGATTAGACTACGCAGATGTAGCATTAGACTACGCAGATTAGACTACGCAGGTGTAGCATTAGAAAACGCAGATTAGAATACGCAGATGTAGCATTAGACTACGCAGGTGTAGAATTAGACTACGCAGATGTAGCATTAGACTACGCAGATTAGAATACGCAGATGTAGCATTAGACTACGCAGGTGTAGAATTAGACTACGCAGATGTAGCATTAGACTACGTAGATTAGAATACGCAGGTGTAGAATTAGACTACGCAGATGTAGCATTAGACTACGCAGATTAGAATACGCAGATGTAGCATTAAACTATGCAGATTAGACTACACAGATGTAGTCCATCAAAACACTACAGCTTCCTGTTTACACTCTCGATATCGTGTCGAACAGTTAATGTTGTTTTACTTTGCGTTTTCCTGTCAAAACCCATCTCTACGTAGGAACTCTGTCCTGGCTCTCCATAACTGCTAGGTGTAAGTTTCACTAGTTGCTGTCTTATCTTTAAATGCATTTACTTTGATCACACAAATTACTTAAAAAAAACGTATTTGTTGCGTTTCAGTTCAAAGTATATAAAACAACTGAATGCTTTTAGTTTGTCTAGATTCATTTGATTTCTGTTGCTTTTGCTTTGCTTTATTTGCCGTTTCCTCACTCATTTACCAAATACCAAATAGTGTGTTGTATGGAGGGTAAAAGTGGACAGCCCATCTCAACGGGCTTGTCCTACTAAAACATGTCAATAAATAATGAATGAAATCCAATTAAAGCCAAGAATATCTGACTGAACCGAGCCGTTCAGGCCCAGCTAAAATAGAACTGGACCCAAACAGGTCAGAATATGCTCCACAAAAGACCTTCTAGGATCGGAGTTCAGAGCATCAGAACAAACCAGGAACAGAACCACGATGAAGGCCAGAACCAAGAACAGAACTTCCTCTTGTTTCTCTGATGTTAGTAGAACTGGTTCAGGAGGCGGGGACATGCTGCTATTTGCCTGTGTGACTCTCAGGGAGCTGCAGGTTCTGATGGAGGAGCTCGTTCTTCACCTCCTTCTCCTCCTCCTCCTCTTCCTCAGGAGGATACAGCACCACCTCAGGAATCCCTTCTCCCCACAACAGCTTCTCAGGAGCAGAGCAGCGACGTGCAGCACCATCTGAGGAGGCGTGGCCTAAGCATGGGGACAGTCCAGGTGGGCAGGGCTCCGACAGGTGGCGGCCTTGATGGTACAACGTAGGAGAGGCCTGATCCAGGGGGGCGGAGCTAGGGAGGAGGCGTCCAAACAGGGCAGAGAGACTGGGCGAGGGAGGAGGAGTGGAGGTTTCGAACAAAGCCAGAGAGGAGCGACGGAGGAGCGAGAGCCGAGAGGAGGAGATGCCCTCCCCTAAAGAGGAGAAGAAGAGAAGCTGAAGGAGATCAATAAACGGATCAAGCAGCAGAACATCTAAAGAAGCTTCATGCTGTCACAGCAAAGCAAGACAAGGAGCTTGGAGACCAAGTGGAGTCCGTATCAGCAGTTCAAACCTGAACTTGTACTTCAGACAGAAGGTGAAGGTTCCTGCTGGGAGGCTGAGGTCCAACAGACAATTCACTTTTATGATCAAACATCTTCTGTTGTGGATTCTCATCAGATGAGCCAAAATAAAACATATCTAGAGATTAGAGAAGCTAAAACGAAACTTTAATGAGCCCGAACGATTCTTTTCCACCAGATCAGACCTGCAGGAAAGGATTCCTCCCTGAACAATCTAAATGAGTTTTGTTGTAAACCTCAGTTGGGTTTCCTGACTGATTAAAGACTAAATAGAACTAAATAAACTGTTGAAGGTTCTGCTGAGTCGGAACTTCAGGTTTATTCAGACATTAAAGCGCTGACTCGTCAACATGTTAGCTGGTTATTAACTCAGAATCACCTGGTCGGTTAACCCAAATGGACCAGAACACAGCTGAGCTCAACATGCGCCCAACTAATATTAAACATCATTCAGTTAATAAAGCAAACGAGCTGCTGGACGTCAGTCGTCACGCGTGTTCACAGACACTCCAGCATTCAACACACCAATCAGAGACCCATCGCTTCGTCACTCTGAAATCTACCTGGCAACAGGCGACAGAAACCCAAAACTCAAAGAAATCAGACCAAAATGATTTTCCATCATTCAGCCCTCCCACTAGACCGGATCAGCCAGGACTGAATGAAGGGAGGAGATTCCCCAGAAGGGGAAGAAGAAATGAAACCAGACTGAATAAATGAGTTTGACACAGATCCAGTAAGACTGAACATAACAGGAACCAAACTAGATGAATGATTTGTTGAAATGCTGAAAATAAAGTATAATCAATCTTAAGTCACTTCAACAAATGATCATTATTAATATCAGAAAAACATCGTTGAACTAAAGTGTTTAAACTGCTTTTAAATGAGTCTGAATAAGAAAATCAATGTTTCTTATTTGAACTCAAACTTCTGCATGATAAACCATCATGTTTTCATACGGAATCATAAAGCTGCAGATTAAAAGATTTTCTGTTTAAGTTTTAGGCAGATCATGTTTAATCTGAGAGGAGTCAACGTGAAAAGGATTCTGGGTAAATGATCAGAGCTGCTTTCTCTAGCTGCTTCACATAAAAGCAGGTTTTGTTTGAACGTCTTCAATTAAAAGCAGAAATCTGATAAAAACACAGAAAGTAGAGGAGGAGCAGCAGATTTGTCTCAGTTGAAGCCAGCAGTCCTCAGCGTCTCTCCTAACTGGACACTGGGACAGTAATGAAGAGGGACTCAGAATGACGTGAGCGACCGGCCTCTCACCGTTCCGTTCCAGTAAAAGCGAGTCGGAGTGTTTCTTGCCTATGTCAGCAAAGGATCGGACCAGAGGGATGCGATTACTCAGCTTCTTCTCGTTCTGATGGTGGTGACGCCTCAACATGGCTTCTCTCACCTTGTCCTCAAGCCCCTCCTCCAGCTGGCCCGAAGCCAGTAGGCTGTCAATCACCATGTCTGTGGGAGAAGGATCAAAGAACAAAGGTCAAGAAGCAATGAGAAGCTACAACAAGCTCGGGACAGAACCAGTGGATCAAGCAGTCACTGAGCCGTCAGCTGATGGGAATCGGACCTGCGATTTCCTCGATGCCGTTAGCTCTCATGTCCAGCAGCACGGTGCCGTTTAGAATGCAGGACCGCAGCTCAAACAAGCTGTGCAGAGACAGCGTGGCGACGTAAGGTTTGCTCCAGCGCTCGCCACCGTCCTCCACATCCTCCTCAAACTTCAGCCACCTGGAATCAGGAACAAAAACATGAGACTCCCTCCAACTCTCACACCTCTAAACAATGGGTCTGAGGTTGTAGTCTGGGCCAGGAGTTCTGGTCACACCTGGCTGTCTCCTTCCACTCCTGATAGTCTCCGTCTCTGAAGGCGAGCTCGTCCAGCTCGGTGAACAGGTCATGTGGGATATGCTCCTCATCATCGTCCTCAGTACCAAGGATGAAGTGGACCCTCTGAGACGGCGTGTCTGCAGACAGGAGGACACATCAGTCATCTTTCCGTCCCGTCTTCTCATCAGAATAGAGATTCATCAGATACCAACCGTACGTAGGGGACTCTCGTCCGTCGTCTCGGTCTAAGCGGTCCCGTCGTTTGCGGTGGTGTCGGTGTCCTCTGTGACGGTGCCTTCTCCGGCTCTGACGGCCCAGAGGGACGTGAACACCGATGTAGACGGCTCTGTGGCCTAGCAGACATGGAAATCCATTAAAAACGCTCACTAGTAAAAAATGAAGGTGAAATTAAACGGAGATGTTTTTTTATCTGAAACTGCTGCAGACTCTTGAAATATTCAACCAACTGACTCTTTCAGATATGAATCGGACACAAAAACAAAATGTTGAACAGGAGCAACAAAGTGTAAAAGAATAAAGTTCAAACCCTTAAATAAAGGCGAGCTTGTTCCTGATTCCTGGAAACAAACTGAATATCTGACAGAAATGAGCCGAGCCGGCTCAGGAAAAGGAGGATTTCTGTCGTTCCAATGATAAAGAGATTTGAAGCTGTTGGTTTAGCAACCACCAGGGGGAAACAAAGAAATCACACTTTGGTGCATTCATGTCATCGAGTTTCAGCTTTGCACTAATTTGGGTTCTTCAGCGTTCTGTTAAAGCGACAAAGCTTCTGGATGGAGTCAGTAACAGGTCTGCGTGTCTGAACTCTGAGCAGTCACAGACAGGAGTGTAAATATGGGCCAAGGCGGTTCTGATACTTTTCTGTTTAGGTGTAAACACACGTAGGAGCAGCTTGATACACTCGTGGTGTGTAAACTCACTCTCCAGCTCCTCCTTCTCAAAGTTTGTGTGGAGGGTAGCGCTGGTCTTCCCCTGGTCCAACACCGCCTCTTCATCGTTCCCCTGAAACACAGAACCATCAACCTAAACAACAGAACCTCACACACAAGACGAAAACCCAAACAGATCCTGATCCAGGACCAGTCAGGAACGACTGACTTTGATGCTCAGCTCTGTAATTTATTCATTTATTATTGTGGCAGTGTGAGCATCCTGTCACAGTGTCCCGATTGATCATGCGCCCTGGCTACTTGGCCAAGGGGATGTCCCTTTGGCTGACTGGTTAGCGCACATGACTCTCACCCGGGAGTCTGGGGATCGAATCCTGCCCGGGCCCTCGTTTATCCACCTTGCCACATTATTTAAAATCTCGTATCTCTGGTTTTGGATGCCGGTGGTGTTTGAGGAGGAGCAAGACGTTCAAGCATCTACCTGCACCAGTAAAACACAGAGGAGGTTGTGTCATGGTTTGGTGCTGCTCAGTCAGTAGTGATGAGCTCCAGTCAAAGCTAACAGCTAAATGACATAAACACGCACGCACACACACACACACACACATGGATGGAGTGTGTGACACAAGTGGAGTGGTTAAAATCGTGCAAATCGTCGAACATCCAAATCTCTTCTTTAACCTTTAAACATGAGAAAATTCCAGAAAGCAGCTGCAAATAAACAACTGATGACGTTTTTCTAGCTGACTCCAAACTCGTTCCTGACAGGTGGAGTTTGAGCTGATCTGATGAAGGTGGAGACCTTTGACCTCTGAAGCGCTGACGGGGGACTAGAACTTGCTCAGCAGGTTACCAAACAGAAATCCATCCAACGATCTGCAGACATCGGAGTTTTGACTGACAGGAAGTTTTCCATTACACATGATTAAAGATTAATAAGTGACCAAAAAATTATTCAACTGTTAAACAAGATCTTCAGAGTTAATATTTATGAGCTGCTGATCTTCTCACTCAAACCGGAACCAAACACCTGGACGTGTGTTCCAGTGTGTGTTGAGGCTTCACATAATTCATTGCTCAGAGATCATATGTCTAATGGATGTTGTCATGACATCCAGAATCATGAAACAACTCCCAGAATCGGCTTGGATTCTCCCCACATGAATGAAGTTCCTCCCACCCGAACATCATGGCTGAGGAAACAATCTGTTCCAGAACATCACTTTGTTAAAAGGTACATGGTTGTCTTCAACACTTAAGTCAAAACAACCATTTCTGGTGTATGAGGTTAGTCTTTGTGAACTCTCATACTGCATCAGGATAAAATCTAGTGACTGATCTCAGGTCAGAATAAACTGTCTTGTGCTGTGGGACACGTGAGGCTCTTATTTTGACGCGATGAACCGCAGCATTTCCTGTGTTTGTGTCTGAAGAGACAGCTCAGGGACCAACGGTGGTAAATAATCATGATTTAACAGAGCATCCCTAACATTAAAGTCAAAGGTCAGAGGAATCTGACCTGACGATTGACGGTTCTGGTTTCACATGAATCAGATCCAAATCCTGACTCAACACAGTTGTTTGTTTACGTCTCGCAGCGGACTCATTCTGGCACTCGATAAGGAACAACCAGCCCAATCTCCTCCTGAACAACAACTCTGATCTGAAGCTACTCAAATAAAATCTCATCAAATCCTAAATTCTCACTCGACTGTTCCTTCCTCACCCTCACACGACCTTCACCCTGACAGGAAGTGATGTCAGAACAGAGTGATGGATTCATCCTGCTGGTCAGGGTATTAAACGCCGCTGTTAGCTGAGGAGTTTCTTACTCACAGCCTGGAGCTGCGCCTCCATTCCATTGTTCACCAAACCCAATAACAGAACCGGCTCCACAGCCTGGTCCTGAGTGAATGACCTTGTCTGTGTCGCGGTGATGTCTCTGTCCCATGATGCATCAGCTGGAGTGAGCGTTAACTTCATCCAACACACAACTTTAAATGATGACACATTAAAAACAGACAGCAGATCCCAACAGTCAGCGTTTCTTCTTCAGCTTTGTCCGTCAGTATTCTAACTCATTAACAAAAATGCGTCAGAAAACAGGAAGTTCTGACATTTTATTCAAATTTCAACTCAATAATGAACTTTATCTGCTAGTTTCCTCAGAAACATTTATTTAGCTCCAGTTATATAGAAAAACGTCCAGGCCCAGTTTAGATCACTCAGGTCTACAATCACATCAGTATCAAACACCTGTTAAGATGTTAGGACTTGCCCTTCAGCCTGAGCAGCACGGGCCACCAGATCCAGAACTCCAGGATCATTAATAAACCATCTGGCTGTTGTGAGTTCCTGTTCTATGCAGACCTGATCGGGCCTGACCCAGAGGCCGGTTCTGTTGGCACAACGCTCGACTGAAGGGGAGAAAATCTTTAAATCTGATGCTTCAGTTTGATAGAAAAGCAGGAAAAAAGTCACTGAAATTAAATACAAAGTTCATTTAAAGGTTTTAGAGGCTAAAACTTCTGATTGTCCAAGTTTTCTGTGTTTGGTCTGAAGAGGCTCAGGACACTAAATACTGCGCGTGTGTGTGTGTGTGTGTGTGTGTGTGTGTGTGTGTGTGTGTGTGTGTGTGTGTGTGTGTGTGTGTTTCTATGGTCTTCTACAGGTCACACGCCTGTAAGTGTTTTGTTTTTTTACTGCCTGGCTAAACCCGCTCCATTCCCTGAGGGACGCCGCCCTGCAGATTTTACATGTTTCCTGCTCCATCACACCCGAGTCAAATGTTTTAGTCCCCCATCACCATGTTAATGACTTCATAGATCTTTCCCTTTAATTTGAAGGTCTGACAGCAGAAACCTGCCAGCTGTCTGGGGAGCTGAAGGCAGAAACACTCTGCGGTGTTTAGTCTGACGTGTTTGGGCTCTACCAGACCAGATCATAAAACCAGAACATGAGAAGCCAGTTAGGAACAGAGCTAAAGGACACAGTTATAAACAGGATGTAAAAAGACTCAAGAACCAAACATTAAAACAAATAAAATCATCTAATTAAATGACTGACAGGCCCATCTGACATGCCAATAAAAACTAATAAATCAAAGAAAATTATTCTGCACCGATATTTTAAGGACAATAGCCTTAACCCCTAATAACACATTTGGTGCTGACATTTGATACCTTTGCATTAGCAGGATGTTTGTTTCTCTCTGAACATAAGACTGTCACTGGAGTAATTCTCATTTCCTCAAATGCAACATGAAGTCAGACGTTTTGGTCACTTCCTGCATAAAACTCTGTTTAGTGAGTCGCTACAGGGTAAAAACACAAACTACATAAACTCTTACAAAACACAGAAAGTCAAAACCAGCAGACACCTACCAGAGAGATCCCTCTAGCCACCCTCTCACTGGCAATGCCCCCCCAGAAGTCTCCCATAGCAGCGGAGTCCTAAAGACACAAGGCCGTGTCAGATTACCTCCCCCCCCCCCCTCACATCCAAGACAGAACTCTGAGAAATCAAAAACCTCCAAAACCAGAGAAAAGGCTTGGCTGGATAAAAAACCAGCAGATATGGACTCCTGTAGCTCAGGTTCCAACTGTCAGCAGATCTGAGTGGATCTGCTCCTGGTCCAGGATCAGAGGCTCAGACGCCACCAGCTGATCCTCAGCTGGGGTTCGTGTATTTATAGCAGAGGGTGTTGCTTCACCGAGCCCCGTCAGAACTACTGGTGTGACTGAAGCTCTCCAAACAAAGCAGGGCCCCAGCACACACGGGGCGGGGCCTAAGCAACTTGTGAACTGCTCCACCTACAAACTCAGTTCTGACATCAGACAGGTGTACCCATCTCTCAGTCAGGACTAGGGTTGTGCATCGAGCATCAATTGGAACTGGGACCAATTGTCAGTTTTTCCCAAAATTGTTAATTTTTTTAAAATTTCGATTCCTCGTTTTGATGCTCAGTCTGCCGACAGGAAATTAATCCACCGGAAGTGTTTGCGTTACCATGCAGTCATGGAAAGTATGCAGACTGCGGAGGCTGTTGATAGTTGTGCTATATAAATAAATCTGGAATGGATAGTGTGACATCATCTACGGGCGCAGGACCCTGAACCGGCCATTAGGAAACAATGACGTCTAATATGGCATCCCCCAAAGATGCTAGACCTACGCCCTATGTACTTTTATAGTTATGTTACAAAGCTGCCAATACTTTTCAACAACTGGACATCATGTTATTCATTTTCAACAATGTATCAATGGACATTTCCAGAGATCAACGGTAAAAACTTTTCATTGCCTCTTTAATAAAATCAGACATATGGTTTAGCATGATAGTTAAATGGTAAATGGCCTGTATTTGTATAGCGCCTTCTTACCCCCCAAGGCGCTTCACAACACGGTCACTCACCCATTCACGTGCCAATGGAGCTGAGCTACGATGTAGCCATAGCCGTCCTGGGGCGCACTGAAAGGCGAGGCCTGCCGAACACTGGCGCCACCGGCCCCTCCGACCACCACCAGCAGACAAGGTGGGTTAATTGTCTTAAAGGGGCATTATGGAAGTTTGACAGCCAAAACATGTATAGAAATAATAAATTTCTTCTTCATACATTCTCCTGCAATGCCCTGGCATTTTTACTGCGATTGCCTATTTTTCTGTAAAATCACAGAAAAAGACAGGTGCTCGGGTTGAGCAGGCTGCTTCATGCGCGTTCACGCTCAGGAAAAGCCCTCCGAACTGTTCTTAAATGGCGCGTTAGCTCGCCTGGTAAGACGTCAGACTTTCGTGCAGAAAACCAAGGTTCGATTCTGGATGTCAACATACTTTATTTAGAGTTTCTTTGTTACATTAATGGTATATTTTTTTTACAGTAAGATGCCCAAATTTTTATTTGAGACTCGCCGAACGGCATTGAATTCACAGATAAAGATGTGGGTTCAACTTTCATTTTGGAACAATTTTTCAAGAGCATGAAGGAGGACTGACCCATCTTAAACCTTTGTCGGCTGCGCTGAAGAGAAAGGTATGGAACCAAATTATTTAATTAATTAGCTGCGCGTTCTCCTGCCCCCCCCCCCCCCCCACACACACACACACACACACACGGAGCTGACTGTCTCAGCTGTTATTCTCGTTAAGGAGTGTGCATGTACAGCATGCGCGCCTCGTGCACGAGCCTACTATTGAAGCTGCCGTTACGCTTTTGGCCTGAGGGGGCAATCGCGAGCATAAAAATTCAAAACTCCGTAAAGTCCCTTTAAAATATAAATATAATAAAAAATAAAATTAAGTAAAATATAAAATCCCAACAGGTAGGCTAGAAAAGTCACTAGTAAACCGATGTGATCGGTTTTCAATAGTATGCCCGTTGTTGCAACTGTAGGCTGCACAAAAAACCGGGCATTGTTGCTCACTGCGTTGACTATAGGTGGGTTTGGAGAGTGAGGAACTCTGCAACAGAGGAACAGTGTTGGTGTTCTAGCGGTGTTTTTGAGAAAAATAAATAAACAACACTCAGTGGGCCCACCTTAGTAAATAAGTGCATGGAAACTTAATAAATATGTACATCTGAAACAGTTCTCATCTTTAGCATTATTAGAGTAACACATGTTAATGTTTTGATGGTGTGATGTAATTTCCTGTCATGTTTATAAATATTACTGAACATTATAGACATTTGTTTACTTTAATAATATTGAGAAACACAATTTCAAAGTGTTCATTTAGGGATTTTCCAATAATTGTAAATAATAATAATTATAATAATAATAATTATAAATGTAGAATTTTATTTACCCAAAGTGTGAAATGGGACTTTTTCATATTTCTTTACAGTTTAAAGTAGGTGTAGTTAACACTTCCTTTACAGAAGTTAGAAATTATTACATCAAAAGAAATATATTTATATTTCAGTCGAATAAAATGAGACTATAATTAAAACAAATTAGACTGTTTTTAAAAATAGTTTTTGTCAAAAGAATAAAAAAAACCTAAATTAAAATGAGTCAAAATTTTAACTGTAAGCTACATTGCCCAGCCTAATTTTTTTTTTTAATAAAACGCCACCCAGAAAATATTAAGGCACTGTAATTTTTCACTGGACCGCCTCTAGCTTTGATTACGGCACACATTCACTGTAGCATTGTTCAGATAAGCTTCTACAATGTCACAAGATTTATTTCCATCCATTGTTGCATTAATTTTTCACCAAGATCTTGCATTGATGATGGTAGAGTCTGACCGCTGCACAAAGCCTTCTCCAGCACATCCCAAAGATTCTCAATAGGGGACCCCGTGGTGGCCAATCCATGTGTGAAAATAATGTCTCATGCTCTCTGAACCATTCTTGGCTTGGAATACGCCCGTGGCTTCAGGGAAGATGGAATTACCTGGAATTCAGTATATTCAGGTAGTCAGCTGACCTCCTTCTTGGAGCACATCCTGTTGCTGAACCTAGACCTGACCAACTGCAGCAACCCCAGATCATAGCACTGCCCCCACAGGCTTGTACAGTAGGCACTAGGCATGATGGGTGCATCACTTCATCTGCCTCTCTTCTTACCCTGATGCACCATCATTCTGGAACAGGGTCCATCTGGACTCATCAGACCAGTTTTTAATAATGCGTTGGACAGTTCTTAACCCAGTTTTAGTCGTTTCTGCAACCTCCTTAGATGTTTTCTCTGCTTAATGCCAATGACCTGACCCTTCTCAAACAGACTAACATCTTTTCCACGACCACCAGACATGTCTTTCCACATGGTTGTTTAAGAAATGAGAAGCAACTCATTGCACCAGTTAGGGTTAAATAACTTGTTGCCAGCTGAAAGATAATCACCCATGCAGTAATTATCCAATATGAGGCTCTTACCTATTTCCTTGGTTAATCCAGGTGGTGGCAGAGTGAGTATTTATTTTATTAATTTATTATATATATATATATATATATATATATATATATATATATATATATATACACACACACACAATATATACCGTATTTTCCAGACTATAAGCCACTACTTTTTCCCACGCTTTGAACCATGTGGCTTATAATGAGGTGCAGCTTTAGTCAACCAGAAAGGATGGATGCTGGAAAGTCTAATGAAGGAACGGTTAAAGGAGTGCTACGGAAAGCGCCCAGGAGGATTTTTTTTTCCACAGTAAAGCGGCGCTGCTTGTTTTCCCAGCTTCACCCCGGGATGATGACAGCAACACAGAGAGCGACACTGACATCGCCAAAGAAAAGGTATGTGACGAAGCTCTTCTGAGGCTGTTCAACTCAGACACTGAAGAAGATAATGACTTCAGTGGTTTCAGTGCGCAGGAGGACGATGAATAAACTAATCAATAACTTTTCGGTTTTGTTTGATACTGATCAGTTCAGTTACGTTCAGTTAAACTACGTTTTCAATTCAGTAGATATCTGCGGCTTTTAGCCCGGTGCGGCTTATTACAGTATACACACACGTACATACACACATATGTAATGTGATGAAGGAGCCATTTCTACCCTAACAGCTGTTTCCTTTTGACACAGTGTCAGTGTGTCTGAAACAGCCTCAAGGTCATACATTCGTTCTAAACT